TGTGGATAGGACCTGACAGCTTAGTAAGACTCTTGTTCGCGAAAGTGGATGAACCAGCAATCACGAGAGTCGAATAATTGGCTATAAAGCCTGCCACGCGGGTCTTAGATCTTGATTTCCTGGGTCCTTAGAAGGAATCGCCGAGGAAATACAAGGAAAATCACTGGCCGATGCACCAATTTGGTGGGTGCCATGTGATTAGGGGATAGACGAGTTGTGGAATAGGTTTGTTTGCACGGGCGTAGATCATTCGAGAAGAAGTCTATAATACAGTCGGGGGCTCCTTATATACATCGATAGAAGGCGGAGCTTGCCCGGGTACAAAGTACAACGTAGACGGCGTACATAGCTTAGAGGGAGTTGCCGCCGTTCGGCTACACTCCTGGTGCACAGGTGCCACTCATTCTTGAGTGATTAGATACTCAAGAATGAATGGCGTACAATTTAGCCTGTGGAGATTCCATAGGCGATGTGGAAAAATGGATTGGTTAGGTTGATGATACAAAAATCATCAACACTCTCTCTTCCTCTTTTCCTCGCCGATTTTCGCTTATCTATATTTGATAGCCAGCAATGTCTAGTAACAAGTGTTTGACAACTTCTAACAAAATTGGGTGATGTTAACTGATAGATGAACAGCGCATGAAAATTACCAACAGTTGTATCCTACTTAAGTCCCAAAGTTTAACGTTTTTTTGGGGGGGGGGGGGGATCTCGTCGGGCACCAATTGTTTATTAACAGATCATTCACTTCGGATCACGATATATTATGTGCTTCTCACTGATATTCGTGCTGGAGCTCAATATCGCCCAAGTCCACAACTTCTTCGCCTTTACGACGTCCAAAATCATAGAACTGTTCCATTTGTTCCTGACAATTTGAGAGATGGGTAATGCTGCAAAACTCTACCACTCACTTCATTACAATTGTGTCGAATCCTCAGGTAAGGCTGAATACTGAAATATTCATCATCTTCTCCATGGATTTCGAATTCTCCATTGGCGCTCACTAGCTTCCAATTGAGAAGATCCTCACCGAAGACTCAAAGATCAGGTACATGTGAGTTACTACATAGTTGTGAGAAAACTCTCCAGAATTCATTACTTACTATCTTTTTCGCTCAATTCCATGAACACGGTAGCATTCGAGCTTTTACCGCAGTGAAACTTGCCTTTTACGGTGATTTTGTGGGCATTGGCTGAGACGATAAGGGTAGTGAAAAGGACGGAGTACAACATGCTTCACAGCTAGTGTCCTGCAAACCCGGAAAGTATATAAAAATTCACGGAATTTCTATCGTTTTTACTGAATAATTACCTAGAATGATATCAGTTAAGTATGAATACCTGTATTTCTTATGTGTAAACTAACTAAGCCATTGCCCATTCCGCATTCCATAATATTCAGTTGTGGCTGAGAAATCTAGCTCTAAAACTTACCCAGAGCGTAATTCTACCACACTTGGAGAAATTTCAGTTCACTTGTGAACCGTACGGTTTGAAAAAGATTTTAGTGTTTTTAAAGGATGAATGAGCTACCGCTTGGGCAATGGCTTTTTAATGAATCTCACGCTACTGAAATTTCAAGGATCTGATGTCTTCGCACTAAACTTAAGTCTCACGTAATGGTTTTTTACTACTGTGCGGCAAGGTTTTGAAACTGAATCAAGATAAAATTTCAGAATACAGTTTCTGGCTCTGCACTTTTATCAGTGATATTCTATGCTTTCAAATGAGTCACTAAGTATTGATACACTGAAGTCTAAACAATATATGTTGTTAGCGTCATTCTTTACAGTACCCGGCATCGTCATTATGACTATGTGGTGCTGAGCATATATAGCTCATAGAATTCCAACGCAGACAAAACATCAGAGAATCAGCTTGAGAAAGCGGAATTACGATAGCGGAATCCGAGAAAAAATTGTAGCTAGACAGGCTACTTTATGGGGCAGAAGAGTTAGTGTATGGCAGCCGAAGCAGTAAGAGACACATTCGAAGAGTTCCAAAAAAACATAGAGCATTGTACCTAATCTTCCTTAACAATATAGTGCAAGTACTCCTTGTGAGCATCTAAATCAGCAATGTAATATGAAGGAAAAGCATGGAAAAGTGGTTTCCACTTGAATTACAATCTACTAGCCGCATGGTAAGGATGTCCAAGAGGTGAACAAGATATTATCAAGATATATACATTTTTTTCTGAACAATGCAAGCATTCGAAGAAATTTGAAGAATCTCAGCAGGTTTTTTGGAGCATTTATAGCGCAATATTTCGGCATCAAAGATTCGGACCGAAAGGTACCAGAATGGCAACAAATTAGAAGCAAATTCCATGCATGAAAATTCTGGAATCCTCTACTTCGATGCTCTTTATTACTCCATCACCCCCGTGCATGGAAACAACTCGCAAAGGTCTGAGATTATATAAGCTATCCCAAAAGATGTGAACACTCTTTGATCGTCAATAAATCTCTTGCTTTCATGTCTTTCGCCGAGCTTGAGTACCCTTTTGTAGAGCGAGGTTCAAAGAACAAGGGAGGTCCGATTAGTCGAAGTGTCCTTTCCAAATGATCTTATACCACCGTGAAGAACATCGTGATTCTAAATTTGATTTCATTATCTGCCGAGCGCCTCTGCATGCCGAGTTATGAATATTTTTTGGGGCGGAAAATGAACGCATAATTTAGGTATAATCAAGTATTACGGTCTTTTCAGCACTCACATAGAGCAGTTTTAGGTATGAGTGTCCTGGACAGAAGGTATTCTTTGAATGTAGTGCTCTGATAATCAACATTGGAACATTTGAGCAATTCTGGCGAATTTTGTGCTAATTGAGCACTCAATTTTTCAACATAAGAAAGGCTCATAACTCGACATTTAAAGGCGCTCGGCAGATAACGAAGACAGATTTGGTATCGGCGTTCAATGCTCTTTATAGTCATATCAATTTCATGTGAAAAGGCCACTCCAGCCGAACGGACCTCCCTTGTAGGATTTAAAGGAGTGACAAGTCATCAGTCACTTTTCGTTACTGTAGGATTACGGTATAAACTTTCAGCATACAACGCCAATCTGCAATAGGCTTTTTGTTGAAAAATATTCCAAAAAATCCGAAAATTTGTGTAGCAAGGTTTTCAGGCTGCTGATTTCACTAGACACCTTCTTCCAAGTTTATTCAATGGTGTAATCACAATTTTAACAAGCATTGGAAAACAGTTGTTACCCTAACTTGCACATAACGTAAAAAAAAGTATTACAGTGAAGTGCAAGTTTCATATTTAGATCAGCGACTTCGAAGTCCAGTACAAGAGTTTGTGGCTTCCTTGGTTTCATTTCCTGAAATCATTCTATTATAGAAGTCGTTCCTACCGCTACAGTGATGAAGATCGATTGATCATTGGCTCCATACTGTATGTGTATCTAAGTTGAACCTCGCTCTACACGATGGTACGTCAAGCGCGGCGAAAGACATGAAAGCAAGAGAGTTATTGACGATAAAACAGTCTTTAAATCTTTCTCGAACCTGCACGACACTTTCTTCTGAAAAACACAGACGGGTAGAGGATCGAACCTTGGTCTAACGATCTTGACGGCGCTTCATACCACTACACTATTCGTTTTCAAATTTTGATCCATGCATTATACAATTGATTTAAAAAGGGGAAAATTTTTTCTACAAAGGTTTCTTTGTAAATTCAACGTGCTGCCCAGCATAACATCGGTCTGTAACTTTGTGCTGTGCTATGCGTTATGTGCTTGTTTGACTCACTCAAAACAATCCACAAGTGTATATAAAGGCAGCACTATCATGGAGCGTTAGCTTTTTCTCTTATATTTTATCAATATATTAGGTCGTTTCGAAAGTTCTTTCCGTTTTTTTCAACCTATCATAAAAACAAGAGGAATAAAGATAGGGAAACGCTTCAGGCACTATCCAACGCTGCTTTTCTTCCTCTTTTTAACTGTTATATTGCTGTGCCGCTTGCTGCTGTGATCAGTGAGATAGTGGTCAAAATCTCAAAACCATGGTTTTTACCATGTCCAACTTTGGCGATTTTTCATAATCTTCATTTTGAACTTTTGGAAAAGTTTTGATAACAGTAAGATAGAGTAAACAAAGTGCAATTTTATGCAATTTTTCGGCATCTATAGGTAGCCTTAAAAATTCTTTAGAATTATTTTTCTGATGCAATCAAATTCCACTTTTGGTGATGCCATGAGCCATAGAACATAAAACGCCGCACAACTAAGGTGCCATTCGATGCAGCTTTTCCTTCTCTTTCTAGTGAGTATTTTTCTTCCCCATTTGTGGGGGTTTCTTACGATAAAATTTCCATAATTCATGATTTTGAACCCGCCTGAGAGTGTACACGTGAAATGCGAAATCTCATATTTCGAAGCGGTAAACACTCAGTTATTTTGTAAAAATGGTGGGCAATCATAAACGACTTTTGATAGTGTCAAAATCCGAAAATTTATTAGTGTTCGGAGCGTTTCTGTATTTTGAGACTTTGCAAAAGTGAAGACTTTTAGAAAAATTATCTCAAAAAATACTGAAAGGCCAGCTAGATATGCGAAAAAATTGCATTGTATTGCACTTTGTTTACATCTGGCTGTTATCAAAGCTTTACCAAAAGTCAAAAAAGAAGATTGTGAAAAATTGCCAAATTTGGACATGGTAAAAACCATGGGTTCGAAATTTCGGCCATCATCTCAGTGATCACAAGAGCAAGCGAAATGGGAGTATGACTGCTAGAAAGAGGAAGAAAAGCTGCGTCGGATAATGCCTGAAGCGTTTCCCTACCTTCATTCCAGGTCTTTTTATGTTAGGTTGAAAAAACGGAAGGAACTTTCGGAACGACCTAATATTTTATCAAATCAGTATTTTCTGTAGAAATCACTAAATTACACTTAGGCAAGTATGCATGTCAGCCTCTTCATTGCATTCGCACTTACTGTGGTTGCAAGTGCGCGCCTCTACAACGTCGAAGTAAGAGGTATACTCTTATGTAAGGAAAATCGTTACCTACAAGTTTATTTGGAGCTTTGTGAGCACGATAGTGAGTTTTAATCCCGATACTCTGCTGAGACAGTGCACTGATTACGATGTAACGTCTTCTAGTTGGGTATTCTGATGACATCCTCGACTGGAAGTTCGTGCCAGTGAACCAGCGATTTGAGATTAAAGGCAACCATAGCGAGCTCTTTGGAATAAATCCTTACCTGCGAATTCGGCATAATTGCCAAGACGTAAGTTCTCCTCACCTTGTATGTAGAAAAAACATTATCATAGCCAACATAAAGCAACTGGCGTTTGGTGAATTCAAAATTTCTGAGGTACGGCAGCCCTTTCAAATTTTGAGACATAAGTCTTCTGGGTACTGGCCTCGATCAGCCGCAGTTGTGATTGTCTATATCCAGTGCAATTGTTAATAAACTTTCGTTTTTACAGATTCAAGAAGAAGTTATTGTGGAATTCGGAAAACGAACCAGGGATACGTCAATAGACCTAGATTTCGTTAACCTCGAGGAAGAAGGTCTCAAGGATTTGATTCTCAACAAGTACAAGAAATCATAATGATGGTGGTTTGAATTCCTGAAATAATGAACCATTTCCGCTTGAATATAAGAGCGAGACTTTCTTAATGATTACGGACGAACCAGAAATTTGGCTGCTCTTCATTCAACTTCCATAATCTATCAACCAGTGGCTGAAGCTAACTCTTTGAAGTGCAGAACCATGAGGTGATACTAGGGCAGTTATCCAGTATCCAGAAATTTTCATGAAAGTGAACCCTCAACTCGCAGTTGGTGCTCAATGATAACATACTTAGGCATGAAATTAGTTCAGACAGTGTGTGTTCTCATTTTTGTAATGCATCGTCAATGTGTCTTCTCAAGCTCAAGTATCCTGAGAGTTTTTGGACTATTCATTCAGCGAATTACTCTATTTTCACCAAATAATTGGTACAAGCCAATGTCTGATTTTCCTTTGACTGCCAGTCACGGCTTCCACGATATTTTGTTTTAATCATAGAGTTCTGCATTATTTGTCACATTATTTTTCTGAATTATTTACGACTTTGTTCTTGACAGGAATGACCACAAAACCTTGTGCGAACTCGTCTTCGCTCCTGGTACATAAAGCTGTATGGACCCCGATCAACGAGTACTTTCGTTCCTCCGACGTGATTTCTAATTGCAGTGAGATCTGAAAAACAAATCGCTTCTGATCAAGATAGATCTGCATGCGTCATATCCGAAAATTTCAATATCAATGATGGGGACCAATAAAATCAAAAGTTTACAATGGTTTTGTTCGCATTTGCAAAGCAAAAGCAAATCACTCTGATCAGCTTTTCAGCCTAGAATCTAATGGAATAATACATACTAAGAACCAGAACCTTCAAACAGTCTGAAGCTTCACCGTCCCCTACTCCTTACCTCACCAAATCTACCCGAATGGAAGGCACTGAGTAGGATGATAACGGTCTTATGAAAATCAAAATCTTTGAAAGTTCTTCACAGAAATAGTAAAAACAAGAGCGAGGTTATATCAACCGCGAGTTGAATCTCAAACTCCAGCCATGGCACACAGTAACAGGAAAATAAGCTCTGTAAAAAATACCAAGCATGAGCATAAATAATATCTATGAAGATAGAAGCTAAAATTAAACGCAAAATTTTTTACGAACTCTGTCGATTTCTGATGGCTTTTTCATGCTTCATTATGAAGTAGATACAATATCACATGCCATGCATGCACATGTTGTATGGAATTGCACCTGAGTACCATGGAAAACAAACTTAAAAAGTGGCAAACTTCGCCCTGTCCGAAAGTCTAAAGTTTCGTGTGCTCGGATATATACTGAGTACGTATTAGATTGCATCAGCATATTTTAGTTTGGCAACAGATCTTAAAAATAATAAATTTACTTCAAATATGTCCGAAAATTTTTATAGTAGATGATTATTTCGAATCAAAGCCTGATAGATGCTTTGTGCTATTTAGTGCACGTGAAAAGTCTTCGATGAACCTACAAAGTTCATGAATTTGGCAGAATTGGAAGAAGATTCTGGTGCCTTGTTTTCCTTTGTTCTACAATCCCGTCCTCCGGCAAAAAGCCTTCGAAATTTGGCCAAAGGCAGCGTCTAAATTCCGTCTAGGTAATCTTGAAGACTGAATACGTGGTTTACAAGCAAGACTGTTAAAAGAGCATCCACTCGCGTCAGTCCAGTAGAAAGACATCTACATATATGTATATTAGTTGTGTGCTGAACAGTTGTCAATTCAAACTGAAGCAGGCCGATTGCGGTAGCGCACCCAGATTGCTTAGTTCAAATTTCATATGGCGACTCTCTAAAGCAAAGGGTCTACCCCACTCCGAACTGCAAAATTATGCACCAGGTGACTACTTTGAATGAGGACGATTATATCTGCAATCTGAATGGATCCAAACGTCCAGGTCCTTTAAACGCGCGAAGACAACCCTCATCACACAGGTCTAACAATTTTCTTAGGAGAAGCATGATCAGACACATGCACTTTCCTCGAAATTATGTAGAATCAGGCGAATCCATTGAGATACAAAAAGTTACGATCACAAGGATAGAGGAATAAGATTTTCAGTTCCACCCAGAATGAGAGCGGCTGTGAAGCGCGAAACAATCCAATCCTCACGAGTGGCGAGGAATGCATTCACGCCTTCCTAAAATTTTTAGAAGTAGCTTACCCCAAGCTTTACCCTCAAATTCTCACGGTAAAACCCTATTTGCAAGTTCACTAAATTCTAGAGATTAGTCCGGCTATTTAAATAGAAACGCGAACAAGTTCCTTGCATAATTTCTCAACCATCAATACCACCTCAAGTGAGCCGCTCAGCATTCGATTTACAGTAATCGCTGTATGCAACTAGGTACGATTTTTCAGCATTCATAAAGCAGGAAACTCTGCAACAAATGAACACTTGTAAGGGGTGTACGAGATCTCTAAGATTAGTCAAACATAAAACTATATATTCTAAAAATGTTTTCGAATAAAGGAAAGGGTGTTTTCAGTATGCAGTTAGATTTACACTCGGTCCTTTTTATAGTTATCGATTTTTTGCCGTAGATTCTGCCATTAATTTTTACTGGCAGGATTAGTCAATGGACTGAATAAATTGCTGTGGAATTTTTGTGATTACCCACATATTGGTAAGAATATTCGAAGCTACTTAAAAGGCAAAATAAAATAAAAGTTAAAAATAAAAGACTCTATCGCTAGCGTTGGAGGCTAGCGTATCCAATTCTGTTGTGGGCACTGCTATAGTGCCAAGTATTCTTGGGTTCTAGACATTATAGTTTCTTCACTCTTTGTGGTTTCGCTCTTACTTGCACTTTCTGAACGTTTTTATGCATATTTAGAGTAGCATCAAACAAATGTATTAAATATGATTCAATATGCCGGTATTCCTGAGGCCTTCCAGCTCCTCCAGACATTCGCGCATGCAAGGATTGAAGGCGTAATCGTAATCGTAGTCACATTTTCCTAGACACTCCTCGAATTCCCACCAGGTATCCACGTGCGAAGATGAGCTGAGCCCGATGAGCTTGAAATGTGTTTACAATTGATTTTGTGATAATAAAGGTACAATAGAAATTCAAACCTTTCCACGAACGCTTGCCAAAGCGCAAGCGAGCAGTAGGATCTTGATTATGCCAAACATTCTTGCAAAATGCAAAGCAGGAAAATTGCTTGCATAGTTTTCGCATATCTTTTATACCATCTACGAATGTTTTGGCCTTCTTAGTCATACTTTATGCTTACGAAGTGCTCACCAGGAACCCAAATAATAGTTTGACATTCTACATAAACACTTCGCTAAGTGAGTAATGCCAGCCAAAATGCAAACTGTGATGCACAGAATTTTCAAAATTGTCACCGCAAGCCATATTCCTTTCGGCGAAAGTCAATAGTTTATAGCGAAGTTTTTTTTGTTGCTAATCTTTCGTATGAACTGTTTAATTTTTTAAGATATTGGTATAAGTGACGGAAATTAGCATAAAAAACGAAAAATTCGGAGAAATGTCATTTTATAGAAAAAATTCCTTATGTATTGCAATTTACCAGCAAAACCATTACTTGATGCTCGAAAAAATGTTACAGTGTTTCAGATAAGCGCTAGTCCTATACTGCGTTTTTGATCTGCGGTTGTGTGAAGTTACTTCAACAACAATAATTTTTCTTTCATCACTTTTTTTCACAGATTTTTTGTACTTGCGTTTCTTTGCAAGAAAGTATTGCTTCTTGCACCATGAGAGTTGATCCAAACTATGCAGATTCGTGAATGTCAGCTATGTCGTGCGATCTTCGGAAAATCTGTCTAATATCTTACTCATGAGATATGAGTAATTTTGAACAAGAATACTTGTCCAAAAAGAGTAGAGTTCTCTTTCTGCATCCCTTCCCACACGTGCTACAGTAGACAATCAAATGTGAGGTCATAGTCAAGTGAGACTACCATATACGAGAGAATACTCGAATGAAGATTACAATAAGGAATTTCAGATTTAGTTGCACAAAAGACATTCTTCCGAGCATTTGAGTTCCCGGAAGCGTGCCAAGCGTGCTGGCGCTTCTAGGTTAGCGCAGTCCGCGTGTGTCAGAGATGAGAAAATAACACAGATCAGAGAAACACATTCTGACGTCACGGATTAGCGAACACAGCGAAGCATTTGTGAATACCGATCTTACCCAGTGGGTTCGAGGGCCTACGGAACCCCTGTGGCCGTATTCATCAACGAAACCCGTGGGTTCCGGAACCCACTGGGTTAGTGCTTTTGATGAATATCGATTCTTCCCTGGAGTAGAATCAATATTTATCAAAAGCACTAATATAGTCAACCTATCATGCATTTTCTCTTGTTAATAAAACCAGTATCAAGCGATTCCGTTGAGAAACGTGGAAGAGCCTCACAAATCTCACAAATGTCGGGCATAGGGTACATTCACGACCTCCTAAACTTTTCTCAATACCACTAAGTGAGACGACGATTTCCTTTCCTCAGAGATCGTGATCGCTGTATGCAACTTGGTTCGAGGTTTGCAGCATTTATGGAACATGAAAGTCTACGACCTTCAATGAGCAATTAGCATTTGAATTTTTTGAGCTTTCTGACCTTTCTGAGTCAAACAGAAAACCACGTCCTCCAAAATATAAGAGTTAAGAAAATCTTTTCCTGGGGGCTAGTTCTACATTCTAAATCAAAAGTTTTTGTTGCCGTCTTGAGACTAGTGTCACCGCTTGCATCCTGGCTAAGCAGGCGAGATTCACGAGTGCAAGACGCACCTGATTTTTTTTATAGATTCGACCAGCCTGAACAAATTGAAAAATTTTGCAAAAAAGGACCCTCTATCGTGCTACTTCTTGCCTAACTGTGTTGGAGAGCGACCGTTTCGAGACGTTTGTTGGTGTCACCGAGCTGTTTTCTTGAAAAAATAAAAAAGGTGCGTCTTATCCTCGTGAAATTAGGGGGTAGTCATTGGACTAAAGGAATCGCTTTTTTAATTATTAAAGTCCCATCCGCCGTCTAATAAAAGATTGTCTAGGGGTAGAGGCGAAACAGGGTAACATCAGAATTAATTAACTAGCATTGACGACAACATGACCAACTTGATGGGTCATGCGATGACAAAATATTTCGCCGAAAGTGGTCTTGCAGCCCAACAGCGCAGACATACAATCAACCATGCAATTTCCGTAAAAAATTCAGTTATCCTGACATATTTCTTTCGCTTCCCATCAGGTAATATTGGAGGACTTGGTGAAGTTCAACTGATGTTTACAAATCGAGTCGGGAAAGAAGGTACAATGAAAACTCAACCTTGCTACGGACGCCTGCCACAGCACAAGCGAGCAGGAGAATTTTTATGGAACAAAGCATTCTTGCAGAATGAGAAAAGCAGGAAAGTGCAGGCAAGGATTTAGCTACCTTTTATACCATCTACGTAGAGAGTTTTAACGATATATGTTTTATGCTTACGAAGCGATTACAAGGAACCCATATCATTATTTGACATTTAATCACATATACATTTCGACAAATGAATAATGTCAGCAATGTGAAGTGTGGTGATTTCAAAATTTTTGCTAATGTCACTGCAGGTCAGGCATTCTGTATGACAAAAGTCATTTGTTTCTATGGCAGGATTGCAAATTTTCCCGTGTGGACTGTTTCATTTCTTAGGGTATTTACATGTGACGGGAAACAGCATCTACTAGCTTTACTACACGACGACAGTTTACATACATTCAAGTAGGCGGTATAAAGTCTCAGAAGCTTGCATGAGATATAACCAGCTTTTTGACATCGCCACAATTACTTCTATTTAGAATAGATATAAAATCAACTTGAAATCTGCAGCAGGTCAATATTCATTCAATTAATAAAAATTATATTGCGTAAGCTTGCTCATGATTTCCTTCTCTTTGTTTTGTCTAGGTATAAGAGTCATCGGAGACGTTTAGTCTTGATATGAAATATTAGGTCATTCCAAAAATTCTCACTAGTTTTTCATCAATGGATATTCTTGAGCTTATTTACGTTTAATAAAGTAAACCATGCTCTTTACGACAGTGCCTCCCATGACTTGTGTGAGGAAATTCGGGAGTTAGAAGCAATAGAAATTACTCAAGATCGGCATTTTTTAAGCAAGGTCACAAAAAATCCTGAAGTACAATTTGAAAGAGAAAATTTTGCCCATCACAGTGGCACCTTTCCAATGAAATAGTATGACATATGTTCAAGAGTTAGAAGTAAATGAAAAGAAATTACTTCAGTTGCGCAATTTTTGGGCATGCTCAAAAATCCCAAAAACTTCAACGCAAAGACCGAAACAGTCATAAGCATGGGTTTCGTGACCTGCTCTTTCTATCTGAGCGAAATTAGTGCTAATCGAAGCACATTTGATTTTCGTGGAAATTGCAGCAAAATACAAAAAATATAAAATCTGCTTTAGATTAGCACGTATTTTGCTCAGATAGAAAGAGAAGGTCACAAAGCTTTTTTGAGCATGCTCAATTGCGAAACAGAAGTAATTCTTTTCATTTGTTTCTAACTCTTAGGTGTCACTGTAATGTTCAGAATTTGTTTTTCAAATGAAATACTTCTAGACTTTTCAGTGACCCTGCTGGAGAAATTCCAACCTTGTGTGACTTCCTTCAATTGCCGCTAAATCTCAAACTTTCTCATACTTTACGTCAGAGGTGATTCTGTAAAAAGGAAGTTTTTTTCTTTTAAACAAAAAATAATAATCAAGAAAATTTGTGAAGATAGGAAATTATGAACTTTGAAAACTAGCGAACCAGCTTCTGAAACCATTTAATATTATATTATAAGTAATCAGATCAACCAGCTGAATGCCTTTTTGTGCGCATGAGTCTTTTGTCGCTCCTAGTGACTTCCTTCTACGTCAGACAACAGAATGTTTTTTTCTGAAAAGATTTCTGTGTAAATATACTGGCTCTAGTACATTACAGACAAAAACCATCATGTACAATATTGCTCGTATTCACTGAAAAAAAAACGAGGCACAGTCGCCCGATTGTGAAAACACCATAGCGTGGCTATACTTCGTTTTAGATTGGACAAATTCTTGATTTTAAGGCACCATTCGACTCGGTGCGGCGCATCTTCTTATATTCAAAAGTACCGTTTCGACATAGTAGGGGCAGATTCCACGAAAATCAGATTTTTGCTTACGGTAGGTTGCTCAGTGAGTGCAATGAACAAGCACCCTGAGTAGCCAATGGTAAGCAAAAATCTGAAACGATTCGTGGAATCTATGTCCAGGTTGGCTCTTTTACAAACCAGAAGATGCGCCGCGCACAGTTGAGTCGAATGGTGCCTTGGATTTATTTTCCACTCTGAAACGAGAATATGGCCATGCTCTGGTGGTGTCACATGAATCGAGCGACTGTACGTCGTTCAAAAAATACGAGCGGTATTGTATATAAAGGTTATTGCAACTTTTCTGCTTAAAATTTGTAGATTCTCGTCCACATCGGCAAAATCAGAGTGGACTCTTCGCATTCAACTTTTGAAGCTTGGTGAAACAATGCTGATTCGCCGGTCAACATTCGCAACCTACAAAGTAGGGCAAAAGTCTGGGAGCCAAGCTAAAGTGCGGTTCATAATTATACGAACACCCCAAATTTTAGAAATTTTTGGACTTTTTGACAGAAACTCAAAAGGCCGTTGGTACCACTCGAAAGAGCACAGCCGAAAACGATATATGACCCGTAAGAGTGGAAATGGATGTCAATCTTAGAAGTGTTTTTGCGCTTAATGCAAATTTTCAGCGGTTCATAATTATACGAACACCTCAAACAAAGATCCATTTTTCATTCAAGATTGCAATCATTTGCGTCCAAATTTTTTTTGTAGAGTTACAGTAACAAAGTCTGACATATCTGCTACACACTGAACCCAGCGCAGTTCAAAAAGAGGAAAGATACTTTTTTCAGAAGGCTCTAAATGCTTTTAAGGTGATTGCGCTCCAAAAACATCCGTTCTTCTGTGGTTTACGCTCTCTGATTAGCTTCTACCAAAGCTATGAGATAAAATAAGCTCTTTCGATAGATATTTTGTTTGACGCTTGGAAAATCTTTGCGTTCGCGTGCCGTTTTTCAACCAAGTCCCAACATCATTACAGAGTAAGCACGATTTTGAGCCTCAAAACCCAGCTTCTGGAGCCGTACAATGAAGTAAGCACATAGTATGTAGAAGTTCACAAGACTGTATATTTGGTTAGAAAAAATCAGCAGCGCTGAGCGTTTGTTTTGGCCACGCAGACGTCATTTCACCAAAAACGATGTTTTTACTATTGCAATCACACCTTTATTTGGTTTTTAGCTCCACAGCGTCAAGATCAGTTCTACAAAAAACCCAAAAACTTTGTCACAGAAACACCATCACGCAAACAATGCAGCGGCTTCATATCAAATGTTTGCGCAAGAGAGAAGCTGAGTTTTGAGGCTCAAAATCGTGCCAACTCTGTGGTAAGGTTGGAACTTGGTTGAAAAACGGCACGAAAACGCAAAGAATTTCTAAGCGTCAAACAAGATACCGATCGAAAGAGCTTATTTTATCTCATAGCTTTGGTAGAAGCTAATTAGAGCGCGTAAACCGCAGAAGAACGGATGTTTTTGGAGCGCAATCATTCCAGAAGCATTTAGAGCCTTCTAAAAAAAGTAACGGTCTTCTTTTTGAACTGCACTGGGTTGAGTGTAGTGGACACGTCAGACCTTGTTACTGTAGCTTTACAAAAAATTTAGACTCAAATGACTGCAATCTTGAATAAAAAATGGACCTTTGTTTGAGGTGTTCGTATAATTATGAACCACTAAAAATTCGCACTAGGCGCAAAAACACTCCCGAAATTGACATCCATTTCCATTCTTATGAATCATACATATACCGTTGTCGGTTGTGCTCTTTCGAGTGGTACCAACGGCCTTTTGAGTTTCTGTCAAAAAGTCCAAAAATTTCTAAAATTTGGGGTGTTCGTATAATTATGAACTACACTTTATTACGCTTGCCTTCACTTAAAATTTCAATTTTTTTTCTAAATATTGCAAAGAAATTTCTTCATAACATGTTATAGTCAAAAGCATGCTCTATCACACTGCACATTTGCCTAATAAAATAAGCAGACGCTTGAACACGCGAGACGAATCTCATCAATTCTGCCTGCGTGCCACGACAGGCGGACTTTTTTGAAGGGTTTTTAAGAGATTATGAAGGGCTGCTTTGAAGCTTAGAGAGGCAATCTCAAAATTTGAGAGTCGCGCTGTATTTGTAAAGGTCCGAGTTATAAGTGCATCAAACTTTTTGTTTGCAAATGTCTCTCTCTTGCCTCTTTCCAAAGGTTTGCCTACATCAATCAGTTAGGAGGAAGAATGCATCAGTTTCATGAAATCTAGGCTTACTTCGCTTTGTATACTTGTATTGAGGGATTGTTTTCCACTTTCGTCGCTTTTCTATTCACATCGATAATCATTCGCATCATCAACTGAAAAATTGAAAATTTTCTTTGCTGGAAATGCCTTTATCAGTTCCTTATTACCTCTACTTTTGGGCCCACAACGAAGTCTGTTAGACAACACTTTGCTTCTCCCATTCTTGGAGCCGATCTAACCAGAATATCGTATTGACTGAAGCACTCATTTCGGTAGTAGATACTGAAGTTTTCAGTTCAAAACAGTGTGAACAATTTCATACAATGAAGTCAGCTAGTACAAAACGCTCTGCAATTACAAAGGCATTCAAAGCAAAATATTCCAAGAGGTGCAGCTATAGCGGGTTGAAAGCCCCGTGACTCATCAAATATATGTATATGAAGGGGTCTCTTCAAAAGTTAAACACCTAAATTTGGAACTTAATTAATTGGTGCAAGGCGCAACATGCACACGGGGAATCTCCTCAGGTATTCAGCCACTCTATACGGTTCAAAGAGTCGGTGAAAGCTTCTAACATAGTATCTCATTTCAAGACCAGACTCCCTTTAGGATTCCGAGTTTTCTACATATTATTCGCAAGCATATGCAGCAACCAGATGAGATCAGAAAAATATTCACAGCAAGATAAACTCTTCAAGGTTCTGTGCGCACTTATCCTTGTTGAGGTCAGTGAATAATATCTCACTGCATTTGTAGTTACTAAAGCTGCACGGAGAAAAGGAAAAAGCAGATGATTTTGAATGTTTTGCTCTTTATATTCAAGTTGAACGATGTTGTTGTAGTTCGTAGGGTTTTGCTATTTGACTTATAATGGCGTCGCAAAACATTTGCAAATTTTGGGTGATGGAAGGAGTATCACGAAGACTTGCTAAACTATTTTAATCGAAGTCTGATCTATATACAAAGAGGTCAACAGCTATCTGACATCTCATTCTGCATTTGATCAAAAACTGATCAAAAATTAGGCTTGATCCCATATTTCGGAGGGTTCAATGCGGTACCGCATGAGCGAGGGTCTCTATTGCATAGAGGTGTTTATAGATTTGATTGACGTATTGAAGATGTTTCTCGCAGACTGTGCGAGGGAAATCCAAAATTCCACGCAACTTCCATCACTTAAACAAACGCACATCGCCACATCGTTTGGATCAGTGCTAATAAACTGAAACCTCTTCACTAGTGACTCTTTGCTCAGCTTCAATGCGCGCTCATTGTCTGCTACGAAGCCTCGCTTTGCTTGCTTATTTTGTAGTCTGTTTATTTTGCAGCAACCTGATACCGGCTCATCAAGTATGTTAGTTAGCATATATATTCATTTATTTTCGTGTTGTACTAATGTTTCACATTCAGTTTTTGTGTGCAATATATGTCATTATATGAAATCAAAGCCTGATTGATGCTTGGTCTTATGTGGTGCAGTAAAAATTTTTCAGTATACTTACAAAATTTATCCTTTCGGCAGACAAAATTTTAAAAAAATATTTCGAGTGCGTTGTTTTCCTTATTTGTCCCACAAATCCCGTCCTCCGGCAAAAAGCATTCGTGATTTGCCCAAAGAGAGCGTACGCCCAGATGTTTTGGAGACTAAGTATTTAGCATAAATCCAAGACTTATAGAAGAGCGCCCACTCATGCTGGTTCGCTACAAAAACTTCCCTATATATGCGAGTTACGAAGAATTGTCAATTTAATCTGAAGCAGGCCGATCGCGGTAGCGCACCCTGATTTCTTGGTTCAAATTTAGAATCCGTGCTCTAAATCAAAGGGTGTCTACTCCAGTCCAGATGACTACTTCCGATGAGGGCGTATATCTGCAAGCTGGGTGAACAAACGTCCAGCTCCTTAGGCGATCTCAAGGAGATTCTTTATCGCACACATTTGACGAATTTTCTCAGGAGAAGCATGATCAAACACATACACTTTTCTTAAATGTATATAAAATCAGGCAAATCCATTGAAATATAAGAGGTACGGTCACAAGGATGTAGTGAAATCTGCGGTTCCACCCAGGGGGAGAGGGGCTGTGAACGAAATCATAAATGGCGAGGAATGCATCCACTCCTTCCTGAATTTATCGGAAGTTTTTACTGCAAGCAAAACCTCGAGTTCTCACAGTAAAGTCAAATTGTCAAAATTCTAAAGAATATATCGGCTATTTAGAGACAGGAACAAAGTCCTTGCATAATTTTACATTCAATGTCACCAATGTTATGAGCCGTCCAGTTTCGTCCCGTCATATATTAGGTTGAACCGAAAATTCTGTCACACCATTTTCAAAAAATCATAACTTCTTTCCCACACACAGATTTTGCACAATTTGAATTTTGTCTGAAAGAGTAAAGCATGTAATTTCCAAAAGTCCCCTGGTGACTTTCCAAAATGCTCAGGTCGCAGAGATAAAAATGAAAGAACGAGATCATCCGAAATTCGGAATTTTTAAGCAAGAATTCTAAAAATTCAGAAACTGTGCGATAAAATCCAGAAAAACCACTATCCTAATTTACCTTACATTTAATTACTAACTGAGTCAAGTTTGTGCTGATCGAGGTCTTCTTTTAGCAGTTATGAATTTTTGAAAAAAAAATGCCAAAAAATCCATTTCTTAAGAATTCTTAGGAAATTGATTTTTTGGCATTATTTTTCAAAAAAATCATAACTTTTGAAAGAAGAGCTCGATTAGCACAAACTTGACTCAGATAGTAAACAAATATAAGAAAAATTAGGGTAATGGTTTTTCTGGATTTTATCGCACTGTTTCTGAATTTGTAGAATTCTTGCTTAAAAATTCCAAATTTCGGATGATCTCGTTCTTTCATTTTTATCTCTGCTACCTGAGCATATCGGAAACTACCCAGGGAGCTTTTGGAAACTACATGCTTTACGCTTTTTGATAAAATTTGAACTGCGCAAAATCATTGTGAGGGAAAGAAGTTATGATTTTTTGAAAATGGTGCGACAGAACTTTCGGTTCAACCTAATAATAATCGATGCATGCAACTCGGTTCGAATTTTGTAGAATTCATGAAACAGGAAATTCTGCAATAAATGAGCACTTGCCAGTGGCGTTCGAGACTAGGTTTATCGTTAGTCGAACAGAAAACTGTCTTCTAAAAAAATTTTTGAATTAAGCAAAGGGTGTTTTCGGTATGGAGTTAGATTTAGTACTCTGCGTTGATACCACTGCTTATTTGTTGCCGTGCATTTTTGCTGGTTCCATGACAGTTCTTCAGACTTCTGCGGCTAACGAGCGTTCAATTTTTTCAACACTCTTATGCAAGCATAGAATAGCAAAAAACACATCAATTTCGGATATCGTGTGATCTAGTCCTGTGGTCTTACTAATAAAGTACAAATATACATGCAAGTTCCGGTAAATATCGGAAAGTCACGACATTCTCTCCAACATTTGTCGGTGACCTTCTTGTCGTGGTATGGTGAGCCGTCGGTGAGCCTTAGATATGTTTACAAATGGCGTTTTAACAATGAGAGTACAACAAAAATTCAAACCTGGCTGTAAACGCCGCCAAAGTGCAGATGAGCAGCAGAATCTTTATCGATTCGAGCATTCTCAAGATGAGAAAAGCAGGGATTGTTGGCGAGGTTTTCGCATATCTTTTATACAATCTAAGTTGTATGTTTTGGCGTTCTTAGTCATACTTTATGCTTACGAAGTGCTTACCAGAAACCCAAATAATAATTTGACATTCCTCATAAACACTTCGCTAAGTGAGTAATGCCAGCAAAATGTAAACTGTGATGAACAAAATTTCCCAAAGTGTCACTGCAAGCCATGAATCCCTTTCGGCAAAATTCAATAGTTTATAGCGGAGTTTTTTTTTGCGAATCTTTCATATGGACTGTTTCATTCCCTTCGATATCGGTGTAAGTGGCGGAAATGAGCATGTACCTGGTTTTACCACACGACAGGTTTACTATATTAGGTTGGTGCAAAAGTTCTTGCGTAATTCGAACAAAACTCGACTACTTTCTAATCTTAAATCAAAATTCATGATTTCGATCTCAAAAAATAGTAGTGGGTTTGTGCTCTATGATAGTTGTTTAGCTTATAATTATATGTGTTAGCTACTGACAACGAAGCTTTCAAATCAAACAAAAATTTCGAGGAAATTGTCATTTTACAGGAACAATTCCCTCGTTACTGCAGTTTACCAGTAAAACCAATAGTTGACGCTCGAAGAAATGTCACATTGTTTCAGATATGCATTAGGTCAATACTGTGTTCTTGATCTGTGTTTTTGTGAAGTAACTGCAACAAGAATAAGATTCTTCCTTTAGCATCACATTTTTCGCGAATTTCTTTTTTGTTCTTGCGTCTCTTTGCAAGATCAAGCCTGCCAAATGAAGCATGGACCAGCGCCACGAAAGAAATTTTTACATCAAATTAGTGTGATTTTTTCCTAACCGAGTGACATCTACAAACTTGTAGAATGAGGTGGGAAAGAAAACGTGCAGCCCCCAAACTAAGTATGTACGTAAATTTTATTCAATGAAGTCACTGCTTTATATTCTTTAAGATCCGAAAACTCCGCGGAGAAGATTTCTCTAGATGTTATTACTGAGTGTAGATCGTCATTAATTCATCATGCTACGAATTTACAGATTTTTCAAGTGCGATTAAATATCCAATCAGTTTTTTTGATCGAGAATATCTTGGAGGATAGGACTTCCCGTTCCATCGGGCCTCCACGACTTGAGTTCCGTATTTTGACCGGCGAACTCGACTTTTCTGTTTCATCAAGGTGACAAAAGCCGAATGCAAATTGCCACACTCTGATCGTTTTGATCGATTGTGTACGTTTTGCAATCCACAAAACCTGCAGTTGGGAATTACCACTACATATGGCACAGATATCTGTGCAGTAAAACCTAGCTTCAATATAAACATCGCAGCATTTAAAAAAATATGTTTTCACTCGGAAGCAAATGCGGGAGGAAAAGGACACTATCAATGGCAAAACGCTCATTTGAATGAAAAAAGGTTCGATGTTGTGAAAATAGTTTTTTATGTCAGCATTTGCCATATCAAGGTCAAACATATACGATGCTTATACCTGGAAATAACAAAGAAGGAAATTATGAGCAATCTTACACAATAAATTTTTTGCTAAGCTACTCGACCTTGTTGCAGGTTTCAAATCGAATTTGGAAACTCTTTCGAGGTTTGAACTGGGATTCATTGTAATTGGTAATGTTGAAGATCAATACTCTATTAATCTCATTGAACATTATTATTGTTTTCTTAATGTATCAGGTTGGTGCAATAGATCTTGACTCAAACAATATTCGATAATGTTCAGAATCTTAGACCGGAATTCATGTTTTTGACCTTGAATAGCAGAATGTTTGCACTCTATTATATTAGATTGTCCCGAAATACTTGTCCGTTTTTTTCACCGCTCACTAAAACCTACAGAACACCAATCCATAGGGGATTCAGGTATCTTTGATTCTTTGATTTTTTTCTCCTCTCTCTTATGTATTTGCTCTCTAATATTTGCAATGTTATCGCCATGGCTTTTAAGCAGCTCAGCAGCACTAACGTCATATCTTTCCTGAATTTTGAAAATTTTTATCCTAATGTTTTCAAAGAACTCTAGTGATTGTTACGTAGAGCAAATCTTTGGCTACATTGTGTTTATTTTTGATTACATGGACCACGTTTATCAAGTCCGTTATAATTATTTGTTTAGAAAAACCGCGACTTTTTGATTACGTCTACCGCTTAAAGTCACCGAAAATTCCAAAAAGCTGATTTTTCAAAGCAAGTTGAACTTGGTTGTGTTGCATAAAATTTCGGTACTCTTTTTTCACTAACAAGGGAAGCGCCTTTAGTCGGGGGGGGGGGGGGGGAAGTTATAGGACAGTTTCTCAAGACACCGGTGTGCAAGCGGGTGGGGGGGGGGGGAGGGGGGGGGGCTTGTAGAACAGCTCTTTCTGGAAACAACGGTTTCTTATAAGGCAATTCTTTTTTATGAAGGGCTCGTAGAGCAGTCATTTCTTAATTCGGTCTGCGAGCGACCCACAGGGCATTTTCTTCTATAATCATCGGTCTGTAGACGTCAGGGCAATCCCCTCCCCTTCCCGTCCCCCAATCATTGCTCACTGGGGCGCATTTTTGAACGGTTTGAGGGATTGAGGGCAGCTCTAAATAAAAGTCTGGGTGCACCTCGTAGCGCACTTTTTCAAAGGGGTCCGTAAGCGTCCCATAGGGCACTTTCTCCAAATATTAGGAAGCTCATGGGGCGGTTTTCAAAGATACTTCGAAAAATGTCGACTTGTAAGCAGCCTACAGGACAGTACTCCCTCAATATAATGGTCTGCTAGTGGCCTGTAGGTTAGTTTCTTTTGATGATTGATCCTAGGCCTGCGGGCGGCCCGCAGGGTAGTTTTTCCTTAAAGTAGTCTATAGGCAGCCCATACAGTTTTTTAAACATTGATATAGAGGGTTTTATCCCTAAATATTTGTAAGGGCTCAAAGGGCCAAAATAACATTCTGTAGGCGGCTTTAGGGGCGTTTTCTTCTTAAAATGCTGAGTTTTTGGGGGACTTCTAGGTTAGTTCTTCGAATATAGATATACGGCTGTTAAGAAATTTTCCTCATGAAAATCGGTCTGTGGGCGGCTTATAGGGCAGTTTTTCACTTCTGTAGGGCAGCTCCTATGTATATCACCCAGTAGGCGGTTTGTGGAGCCGTTCTTTACAAAAGAAAATCTTTAGCGGCACGTAGGGGGCTTTTGTTACCAAAATTTTCTGAGAACTAGGAATTTTTTGAGTGTCTGAATCTTTTGTATGATACATCGTCGTTTTGGACTCGATTGCATTCGAGGGAACTTTCAATGGAGATTCTTAGAAAATTTTGGCCCAAGATTTACAAGGGATTCAGAAGTTATCGATTGATCACTTTCATGTTGCCCAGAATGCGCAGAAACTGTGATAGGATAGCGGAATGGTTTTTTTATTTTGGAAAAAATATCCTGCTTTCGTAATGTTTTCGTCGACTTCGTGGAATCTCAGCTCGAGGAGCTCCTTGATAAGTCACCTTATAAAAGGTATGTTGAGGAGGAAGTCTTATTATGAATGAATTTCTGTGAAGAGGGGATTTCGATGAGAGGATGTAGTATTCGGAAAAATGTCGACTTTTTGTTCTCAAAATCTCGTATGATTGCGATAAAATATTGAAGAATTACTCAATGAACTGTAATTCGTTTCTGCGAGACTCCCCCATAAAAGTGATTTTCACAAGTAGCTCTCAGAAAAGTATAAAATGTAAAGATATTCGTGGTAAAAGCCAGGCGACCAATAGAGTGTTTGCCCCAACCAAATGTTAGCGGCCCATGGGGTCGCTGGTAATTTAAAAGTGTTCTAAGTCTGCATTTGTTCTTCATCTTCGAAAGTTAAGCAAAATACCGATCTCAAAAGGAAAAGCTTACGAATGAGTAGTTGTTTACGATTGATTCGTGAATGCGGGCATTGGCGGTATGTTTCAATGTTATGTCAATGCTATGCGGGAATGAGCATGGCATATAGACAGGGCACGGCACAGGTGGCTTAGCAAGCAAGCTGGATATCGTTTTTGGGGAAAAAGCAAAGGGGATATCGTTTTTGCGGAAGAGCGATAACGTTGTCTCTCGACCTGCGGCCGGCACGCTGCCGGCATGCCGCTAGCAAATAAACAAAAGGTTTGTTTACAGCGAAGTGAGGATGAAATGACACCAAAATAGGTGTGTAGATGGACAATGAGGAGTTAGAACTAAGTATGAAAAATTATGAAAAAATTATGTGAACTAAAGGCGTGCTCAACTTTTTTCGGAGTTAGGTGGCTTTCAAGCCACCTGGATAGCCACCTTTTTTTCCCTCACATAATTTTTCTACTTTCTTTACATACTTTTCATCTACATCCCAAACTCTACAAACTGGTTCCTAAACCGCATCAAACCCCCTTCTCCCCGCTTAGTTATAGCCCCTTGAAAATTTTGAATGACCGCGGAAAGGCTGCTCTAGGCGCGTATTGCTGCACGATGGATACATCATGCCGCCATTCCGGAGAATATGATTATCATCGCGTGTGTTCGATGATTCTTTTTCGTTTTTTCTGCTGTTGCTTTGTTCCATTCCTTTTCATGTATTTTCTCTTCGAATATCTCGTGGCGGATATCGTAATTTTATTGAAGTCAAAGGGGACTTCATTTTTTGCAATTTCGGGACGCCACCTCGTGCGAGCCCTGGTCTAGGGTCAAACGGGACTGCGTAAAAATTCGCAAAAGTCAAGGAGGACTTCGTTTTTTGCATTTTCAACTAGCCACCTCGTGCCGAGCTCTGCATATAGATAGAAGAGCAGTGCGAGCCTCTGCCAAGCAGAGGTGATGCACTGGTATTCATTTATTTTCGTGTTGTACTAATGTTTCACATTCAGTTTCTGTGCAATATTTATATGTCATTATTTAAAATCAAAGCTTGATTGATGTTTGGTCTTATGTGGTGTGTGGTGCACGTGAAAATTTTTCACTTACAAAACTTATTCTTTTGGCAGACACGACTAGAAGAATATTTCGGGTGCGTTGTTTTCCTTACTTGTCCCACAAATCCCGTCCCCTGGCAAAAAGCATTCGTAATTTGCCCGAAGACAGCGTTTAGATTTCGCCCAGATGTTTTGAAGACTAAGTATATAGCATAAATCCAAGACTTATAGAAGAGCGTCCACTCATGCTGGTTCGCTACAAAAACGTTCCTATATATGCGACTTATCTGCTGAAGAATTGTCAGTTCAATCTGGAGCAGGCCGATCGCGGTAGCGCACCCTGATTTCTTGGTTCAAATTTAGAGTTTCCGTGTTCTAAATCAAAGAGTGTCTACTCCAATCCAGATGACTACTTCCGATGAGGGCGTATATCTGCAAGCTGGGTGAACAAACGTCCGGCTCCTTTAGGCGCGCTCGAGGAGACACTTCATCGCACAGATTTGACGAATTTTTTCAGGAGAAGCATGATCAAACACATACACTTTTCTTAAATGTATATAAAATCAGGCAAATCCATTGAAATACAAGAAGTGCGGTTACAAGGATGGAGTGAAATCTGCGGTTCCACCCAGAGGGAGAGGGGCTGTGAATCGAGAAACCAAGAATGGCGAGAAATGAATGCATCCACTCCCTGAATTCTTCGAAAGTTTTCACTGCAAGCTTTCAACCCTCGAATTCTACAGTAAAGTAGAATTCGTAAAATTCTAAAGAATGTGTCGGCTATTTAGAGACAGAAACCAAAGTCTCTGCATAATTTTACATTCAATGTCACCAATGCCGTGAGCCGCTCAGTTCCGTCCCGTCATTGAGCAATCGTTGCATGCAACTCGGTTCGAATTTTGTAGCATTCATGAAACAAGAAATTTTGCAACAATTGAGCACTTGCCAGAGGCGTTCGAGACTAGGCTTAGTCGAACAGAAAACTGTATTCTAAAAATATTTTTGAATTAAGCAAAGGGTGTTTTCGGTATGGAGTTAGATTTACATTCTGTTCCTTGTATAGTTATCGATTTGTTGCCTTAGATTTCTGTCATTGATTGCATGATTTTTACTGGACAGGCCTGGTCAATGGACTAAATAAATTGCTCTGGAATTTTGGCGATTACCAACATATTGGTGAAAGTACTTGACATTAGGGAAAAATCCTGAAGTTCTTAACGCCAGAGTAATTGAGTAATTTAGAGACTAGGGAATCCAGTTCTATTGTGGTCACTGTTAAAATACCAAGCATTTTTGCTGGTTCCATGACAGTTTTTCAGACCTCTGTGGCTAACGAGCTTGTTTGAACTTTTTCAACACTCTTGTGCAAGCATAGAATAGCAAAAAAAAACATCAATTCCGGATATCGTGTGATCTAGCGGCTTACAATAGTACAAATACGCATGCAAATTCCGGCAAAAAACATAGTGCGATAACATTTTCTCCAACATTCGTCGTGGACTTCCGCTTCGTGCGAGTGTGAGCCGACGGTGAGCTTTAAATATGTTTACAAATGACGTTTTAACAATGAGGGTGCAACAAAAATTCAAACCTGGCTGCAAACGCCTGCCAAAATGCAGATCAGCAGCAGAATCTTTACTGAGTCGAGCATTCTCACTACGTGAGAAGAGCAGGAATTGCTGGCGAGGTTTTGGCATATCTTTTATAGCATATACGTTAGATGTTTTGGCGCTCTTAGTCATACTTATGCTTACGAAGTGCTAAGCAGAAACCCAAATAATAATTTGACATTCCCCATAAACACTTCGTTAAGTGAATAATGCCAGCCAAAATGTAAACTGTGATGAACAGAATTTTCATAGCTTATAGCGAAGTTTTTATGCGAATTTTTCGTATGAACTGCTTTATATCCTAAGATATATGCACCTATCTTACCACATGAAAGCTTACATGTATAATATTAGGTAGTCCCCAAAGTTTTGTCGGTTTTTTCAAACCACTATAAAACCATGCACAATAAACACCTGAATGAGTTTTGACATGCATTCGATGCAGCTTTTTCTTCTCTTTCTTATGGATACATTCTCGAGCCACAATCTTGTATGCTTTTTTCGAAATTTGTTAAAATTCTCCATCTGCCAATTTTATCTGCTCGAAGTTCGGCTAATTTCAAAAAATTCTATTCTAGAGTTTCTAGAATGATTAAGTATGATTCTAATAGACCAATTATCGGACTACAAGAATATACTCTTGGATTCTCCTAATCCGCTGTTTTTAGCTTGAAAAAAATTATTTCTTAAGAGATCTCGATTTTTGGCAAAGTCGTGAAATGCGCAACTGCAGCAAACACACGGAAGTTTTCAAAGTTTCTGCGAATTGAAAAATGATTCTTATTGAACATCATTTATGCAACACGACCAAGTTTGATTTGCCTTGATAAAGCAGCTTTTTAAAATTTTCGGTACTTTTACGTGGTAAACATAATCAAAAAGCCGCAGTTTTTATTAAATAAAAAATTATACTGGACTTGGTAAACGTGGCCCATGTAATCTAAAATAGCTGCAATGTAGACAAAGGTTTGCTCTACATAACAGTTACCAGCACTCTTTGAAAACACCAGGATAAAAAATTTTAAAATTCAGGAAAAATTTGGCGTTTTTGGTGAGCTGCTAAAAAGCCATGGCAATAACATTGCAAAGACAAGGTAAATCAGAGAGAAAATATAGCTGTATGAAAGAGGATAAAAATCTGAATCAAATGATACCTAGCTTGCCCATGGATTGGTGTTCTGTGAGTTTCAGTGATCGATGAAAGAAACCGACAAAACTTTCGGGACAACCTAATATATCAGCATGGTGCAAAGATTCTTGCGTAATTCAAACAAAATTCGATTATTTTTCCAATCTTGAACCAAAATTCATGATTTTAATCTCAAAAAATAGTAGAGGACTTGCGCTGTATGGTACATGTTGAGATTTGTAATTACATTGTTTAGCTTAAAAACGAGGCCTTCAAATATGGCTTTTCGGATTTTGCGATTTTTAGTTTCGGAATTTGCGAAGACCCTCTAGCTGGCCCGAAAAAAAATCTGTAAAAATTTCTTACATACATAGCAGTGGCGTACCCAGGATTTCGGCTCGGGGGGGGCGCGACAAAAATTTTTTTCTAAAGAACGTGCGTGGCGTTAGCCACGCACTCCGAAAAAATTTTGGGGGTGCGTCCCAAAATTTTTTCGGGTCCCCGACCCCTCAAATCTGGAAAAAGGGGGCGTGGCGTCAGCCACGCCCCCGAAAAAAATTTTTTTACAAGGCTAATTTGAATTTTTAAAAATTTTTAAAAATTATTTTAATTATTTACAAAAATAAACAAGTCACTTACACATTTTTATAACCCATATAAGTAACTTTCAAAAATTTCGCGACCCATTCTCGGGGGGGGCGCGCGCCCCCCCCCGCCCCCCCCCCCTCGGTACGCCACTGATACATAGCAGTAGCCCACACTTCACTTCGGCAGACTTTGATCTTTCACAATTCGGAAAAATGTCATTTCCCAGAAAAGATTCCCTATGTATTCCAATTCACCAGCAAAACTAATACTTGATGCTCGAAAAAATATCACAGTGTTTTAAATAAGCACTAGGTCAATTCTGTGTTTTTGATCTGTGGCTTTGTGAAATAACTGCAACAAGAATAAGATTTTTCCTTTAGCATCACATTTTTCGCGAATTTTTTTTGTTCTTGCGTTTCTTTGCAAGATCAAAGCCCCCCCAATGAGGCGTGGACCAGCGCCATGAAAGAAATCTTTACAGATTTATTCGGGCTTGCTGGAGCTCTCCGTGTATTTCTAGGACCAAACTCAAAATCGCAAAATTAAAAGGCCATTTTTGAAAACTTTGCTCTAACAAGTAAGTAGCTAACCCATATAAATGCAAGCTTGAACAACTGTAATAGAGTGCAAACATTCTACTATTTTTGATTTCCGTAAATTTTGCTCTGAAACTTTGAACGTTATCGAATTTTTTTTAGTTACATAAGAACTTTCGCAAAAACCTAATACACTAAGTTAACAGTAATAATGTCTAGTGAAATTAATAGAGTACTTGATTGGTCTTCAACCAATTCATATGAAGCTCTTTTCTATTCTTGAAAGAGTTTCCAAATTCTATTTGAAATCTGCAACAAGGTCAACTCTCTTATCAAAAAATTTATTTGTGACTGTGCTAATAATTTCCTTGTTTGTTCTTTCCAGATATATGAGTCATCGTAGATGTTTGATTTTGATTAAGAAAATGTGTTGTTATAAAAATCCAATCACAATATCGAAAGCCTTTTCATCTAAATGAGCTTTCTGCCATTGATAGTGTCCTTTTCCCCTCGCATTTGCTTCCGAGTCAGAACATTGTTTCAATTGCTGTACTTTATATTTAAGCTAAGTTTTACTGCACAGATATTTGCGCTATTTCTGGTGGTAATTTCAAACTACTCAAATTCTGTGGATTGCACGCCAAATACCATGACCAACTCGTGCGGTTTGCCATTCGGCTTTTGTCACCATGATAAAACAGAAAAGTTGAGTTAGTCGATCAAAATGCGCAATTAAAGTTGTGGAGGCGCGATAGAACGGGAACTTCTATACTCTCGATTAAAGGAATTGATTAGATACTTGATCGCTTTTGAAAAAAAACTGTAAATTCGTAGCATAATGTAATTAATGACAATTCATGTACCCTTAGTAATGGCATACTAAAAAAATCTTCTCCGCAGAATTTCCGGATCTTAGAGAATATATTGATTCTATTGAATAAAACTTATGTACTTACTTCTGCAGCTGCACACTTTTTTTTCCTTTTTTCTTTTTTTCCTTCTTCTTTTCCACTTTTCTTTTCTTTCTCTCATTCCACAAGTTTGCAGATGTCACTTACTTGGTAGAAAAATCGCATTAATCTAATGAAAAACTGGGTATACTGTGCTTTGTATACATATTGTGATTCGGTTGTTTTTGGCCAGTTCTATTGTTTTCGGACATGTTTACAACGATAGTTTTTCTGAATTATTGATTAACAAAGTAGAAAGTCCCATCTGCTCCCTATTTCCTTTACTTTTAGAACCCCAAAAGTCTATACGGCTACGGTTTGTTTCTTATATTGTTGAAGCTAACTTAACTAAAATGTTCATAATGTAAAGCCTGCTGGTTTTACAAAATACTTATGTGTTCTGCAGCTACGATGGCGTTCAAAACAAAATATTTTAGGAGATCCCTATAGCAGGTTGAAATTTCTATGCCACAGATTATCAAAAATATGTGCACTTTCTCAATTAGCACATTTATTCAAGTTCGAGATATAAGAAAATGGTCAAACTTTCAACACTTCGGAATGCTGAAAGTCATTCCTAGCAATGTTAGTATTACCTGCTATAAAGAATAAATTCACGCAATAATGAAGTGTTTTGAAAAGACTGAATAGGTCTTTTCTAACAATATTGTATGTTTAACTGAGTTTATTTGACCACGCGAAAGGCTCAAAAGGCTTTCATAAGTGCCGGTGGTTACGGAAGGAAATGAGACAATTTCCTTGTTTTCCAAGATATCCCAGAAAATGCATAACAATGCATGTTACTACAACAGTGAGAATCATCTCCAACTCCTGCTTGTGGGACATCTTAGGAAAGTTGATTGAAGGGTCAGTGTTTTTCTTGCGCAATTAGATATGGCCATTGCATGGGCTTTTTTAGCTTAACTACAGTTTCACTATAAAATCATATCGACCGTTTAGTCTGTTGCAATCTTTCCGCTATTAGGGTCATGTTTCTCCCTTTATTTATATACCTTATGCAGAACCTGCATATTTTCAACTTTACAACAAAAAAATGTGATGTAGACCTTATCAGAAAGCATAGTATCTTCGACAGTATATCGAAATTCTTATAATTTTAATGGCAACATGTACAAACCCGTTACTTTAACAGAACGCTGTTTTTATTCCTTTTGGCGAGACTTTCACCCAAACATGAAAAATGAACTGAAATTTGAGTGATCTTATGATTTGCTCTAGTGAACCATTCATTGTCCCTTTGGCAGGGGGGGGGGGTGGGGAGGGGGGGGGAGGAAGAGGGGAAGGGATACAGTGCTGTAATAAGTTAGTGGTTGATATAGTGCTCTTATTTTTTCGAAGACATTTGCGCCTGAAAACTAGAACAAAAGTCACGCTCAAAGGTGCTCTCCGTGGCCATGTTACACGCACAGGTGTTGTCGGCACCGCAGAAACACCACCAGACTTCACCTTTGGTACATTTTGTTGAATTGCTTCTTCCTTATAGGTTACACAAGAGATTAAAGTTTGTTTGTATCCTTAGGCATTCTTCAATTGTTTCTTGCTTGGCAAATGCTGATTTAGGAGAAGCTGTGCTTGGTACGGAGTACTGCAAAGCATGGAAGCTTTTGCCTGCTTTGACGATATGATAGTCTATCAGAGCGAACAGCAAGTAAGTAGAATTTTTTTGAGTAATAATCGCTTCCTTCACTCTTTTCTCCTAAAAGTAGCTACCACTCGAATATATAACAGTCTGTGGGACTTATTCGTGAACCACCTTTAGAGCCATGCTAAGTTTTCTGAAGCAACGGGTATCCTTTACCCTAAGAAATTATTGAGCAAGAATTTGATTGTACATAGTAGCGGGGGAGGGTGGCAAAAGAGCATGAATTTCAAATGTGTTTTTCTTCTCAAAATTGTGTCCCACAAGCACACATCGAAATGATAATTGATAATTCAGGAAATGTTGTGTTTTCACGGGCTCCATTTCAATCGGAATGATCTGACCGTACTGGCGAAATATGTTTTTGAAAATTTCTTACATTGACACCAACTAATCAGCAGCCAAAAATCGAGCGCACTTGTACATAATCTCGCACTATAAGCTTTCTAACAAGGGAAGTCACTTAACTTAGGTCGAGCTTTTGAAATGAGACACATACGGTTGGAGTCAGCTTGAAACGCTGATTTCAAATCTTCTTCCCTTAGCTGCGAAGCATTCCTCTGAAGCGAGTTATGAGCTTTTTCCTGAGCAAATTTTGTGTGTTGACCGACTTAGGCATGCAACGATATCATCACCTAGGTAGTGGTTCAAATGCATATTATACCCTATCAAAGCCAAATGACTCAATTTGACGTTATTTTGATGTTCCACCACTTTTTGAGCAGATTTTCATCTAAAGACCTTCTTTCCATATTCAGTTGTATGTCAATAACAATACTAAAAAAGCTCATAACTCGCTTCAGAGAAACGCTTCGCAGCTATGGATAGCATATTTGGAATCAGCGTTCCGACCTGATTCTGAATATATGTGTCTCATTTCAAAAGTCCGATCAAGTTAAGTGACTTCTTTTGTAAGATTATTTTGTGCAGTTTAAAATTTCGAATATTGCTTCCCAGGGAAGGCAGGATATCATTTATTTTTTAAGCACGAATGGAGTTCTCGCTTTAACGGTGTGACGGTGTATTGCGAAAATAGTAAATTTCGAAAATGATTATGAAAGATGCTAATAGGGGTTGAGCGGTTGAGCAGCAGCTGCATCAAATGCGAGCTAACTCTACAATGTTTCATTGTTACATGAGATTTGGAAACACTTCATTTATGCAATAGTATCCAACAGAGCGGATATTTATTTTCGAGTTTTATTATTTTCAACCCCTGACTTATTTATGGTATTAAGCTATGTTGTGCTTTAGTATTCTTCGAACCGCTTCAAGATCCTAGTCATTGGAACGAAAGGCTCAGGAAGATCGTCATTGGTTAGACGTTTCAAGTCTAATACTTTTGAGAAAACAAAAAATGAAACTGATTTATCGGAAGTAGTAGTTCTGGTTCGTGCAATTCAAGGTTATATAGCGAAAGCAGACGTACAAATTGCAGGTTGTAACATAATTATGAGAATAATTTGCTAAAGCTGCTAAAGTGTTTTTGCAGAGTTGTCAACATTTGTCGCGGATGGTGACGATAAATCGAGTCCGGTCAAAGTGCACAATGTGATTGGCAGAAGTCTTTCTTTACGACATATTGTCCTGTCTTTTCCGTAATTAGTGTATTTAGGCAAAAAATTATCTAGACGTAAATGGGGTGCTTCTCCTCTACGACATGACGAATGCAACGGCTTTTGAGGAGGTCACTGATGCACTATCAGCACTTCAAAAAATGGTAGAAATCTAGAAAGCATATAAATTTGTAGGAATCATCTAGTTATGTAGGTCGCTCCTGACGTAGACATTTATCTTGTTGGAACAAAATCTGATCTCATTGACGCTCGTGCCATCACTTTCGAAGAAGCTGAGGAAAGGGCAGAGAAGCTTGGATATTCTCTGTTTGAGACGAGGTTATATGTGTTCAAATAAACAAATCGAACAGTTCTGATCATACTAGGTGAAACACAAGCTTTTTAACATTTAAAAACAAAATCTTCATAATTTCCTTGGAAGCTTTCTCTCATTTTCAAAGACAGAGAAGTTGTAGCTTTTCAGAATGTTGTCACCAAAGACACCACTTCAGTTTTTTGAAATCTATGCAAACATGAAGCGCTATTGATCAGCTTAAACCTCCAAACTGTTTTCGAGTTAGCATCAATGCTGCCAAATACATGAAAAATCTAATAGGATGAGAAGAAAATTGACAGAATTTTTGAAAGTAAAGAAAAAATGGATTGAGGTGCAGTTGCCGGCGTAAACTGGTTTCTCATATCCGTAGCGAAAATGACACCAATGCATAACCTTTTCCCTTCCTCACATGAATAGTAAGAAGAAAAAAAAAGTTGTTAAAGTTGTTGAAGTTTCTGACTTTAGAGAATAAATCAAAAAAAATGTAGCAAGACTCTGTTCCATCCAGTATTCAAAACCGTTACTCAACATACTTGCCTTATGAAATCTTGTTAGTGCTGTGACAGGGAAGAACTGTGAGGAGCTGCTCGTCGAAGTGCTAGACAGACTAGCAGAACGAAGAGCTGCAGCTCAAGAATATTACCGCGAGAAGAAACAAAACAAGAAGAATGAGAAAGAAAGCAAAGAGGGAGTGAACGAAGCCAAAATGGATGGGAATGAGATCAAGGAGGAGGAGCAGGTAAAATTTCTGGTCTTGACCGCTCCACACTTTCTGTCAACTAATGTACAAAATTTCAGGTGATGGAGAAGGCTACAGCAGTACCCGATACGGAATCAATAAAGCCTAACTTCTTTTGCTGGATTCCTGCTTTCTGGAAACGAAGAGCGTGAATGAAAATGATATGTAGTTTTCATTTCCTTTTTCTTTGAAATGTGGGGATGAGATTCAAAGGTTCTAACGCCTAAAATGCGTTATATCCCGTTCGTTTCAACTGTATGGATTTTTCTTCACAAACAATGTTCGTGACACATTGTAGATTATGATTATCATGTCTTGCAAATGCGTCAGAATAAGTTAGATAAATTTTTGTCCGTTTAAAAATGGATAAAATACAATGAAAGTTATGATTCAAGAAACTTACTGTTCCTGCATGTTGTTCACATCTGAAAGGCGGATTAAGGCACAAGGAAGGAGAAGACAAGGATGAAGAGTTCGCCTCGCAGAGTGATCTTGAAACCACTGTCTAGGCAAACTTAATGGATTGGCTTTTGTGTTTGAATTGATTCAGAAACTTCAATTAGGCCACCACCCAAGTGGCAGATCATATGTTTGATTCTTTACCAAAAAATGCCACTCTTTGATCTCTGGCCATCGTACTTTCCACCGTTCTTGCGGGCATTTGTTGATACTCAAAAAGAATATGGTCTGAGCAGGAAATCAGAAATAAAAGCCACGAACGGGTTCAGGCCTGCCACTTATTGATACAATTTTTATCAGTATTTTGAGAAGCCAGGAGCTCAGAATCGAAAGCACTGCCTCTGCTGAGTTTTGCATGATACGATCTGCTCAGAACAAAATTAGGTTGTACGCCTGAAGAAACATGTTCATGCCCATGTACTAACCAAAGACCCGAAATTTTCCGTTAGAACTTCTTAGTAGATTAATTTGATGGTGAGATTCAAACTTGTAATCCCAACAGCATGAAAAAATTATTTGCCTTTTGCTAGAGGTGTGTTCAATAACTGGTAACTTCACAAACACTTACATAGCAAATAGGATTGAATCAATGGGCAATGTAACAATTGCACAGATCATTTTCCATGTTATTTCATTTATTGCAAAGACTCGAAAAACATGGAAATGCTTTCTGAGAGCGTTTTGATTTCGGCTTCTGCACAACATTACATTTTCTTTTTGAAAGGCCTTTTCTTTTCCAGGCACGTCTTAGCAAAAGAAGTAGCTGAGATAAAGTTACGCTTCATTTTTTGTGTCAAACGTACGTGATTCTTAAAAAGTCTTCTGGAACTCTCTTAGAAAAAATCTGCCAACGTTAAATTCCAGAGAAATCAATGATCAAGCTAAAAATCGCACTTACATCATCCTAAAGAGATTCTATCAATTTCGATTTTTCTTCGGAATGGAATCCGGCAACCACACCCGACATGAGCGAGCTTTGGACTAAGTACACGGAAGATCATGCTCACATTATTAGAACTTTGGCTTATGGGAAGGGGGAGTGGGGGGGGGGGGGGTACACATCGCAGCATTTCGCGCTCCAGTATTCAGAAAGTTCTTTAATCTTGGCATGAGCCTGCGATACAGAAACTTTGTATAGCCAATGCTGAACATTGATTTTTCAGTAATTACCGAGTTTCTACGGTCTTATATAAATTGCTTACAATTAGTCTGGAAAGCGACTAATTATCAAGATGGCTAACAAAATTTGTTTTTTTTTCAGAAAGCAAGTCTTTTCTCGTGCTCTAGCTATTGCGCGAACGATGTTTATAAATAGATGAATACAATAATTTTTGAGGGTTTTATGGATGAATGTTTCACTTTCTTACACCATTTTATCATCTAACTACGACTTTTCCTTTATAGAAGCAGCATTTTATTCTCTTCAGAGATAAAATAGCAAACTTTAGCTGTAGCGAACAGTAATAATTCTTATGCTCTCCAGTTCGGATCGCACCGTTCTAAGTTTTAGATATCATATCTAAGCATAAGAGTACAAGAATTTGACCATCAAAGGCGAGATTGTGCCGATTACCAAACTTTTATGACAACGATTCTACTTTAAACCACATGTATGTATATGATTTTTTAAATCTCATTTGAATATATTGAAATGTTCACCATATTCTTGCGCCATTCACCACAAAATTAATACTTTTGCTGAAATAATCAATTCAATTCTCCATGAATCAATTCTTTTGATGGTCCCAAATGTAGGATATCGTCGACCGATTTTTGCCTTGTGCGAATTACTTTTGATCAAAAATGATTTTGATTAAACTTATTTGTACATATCTAAGAAGTAATTTTATCTAATGACTCAAATGTTTAGAGATTAACAGATGATGCAAGTAGATAGATTTGAAAAGGAATTCAAAAAACTTGCAGATCTCATCTTTCCAACTACTCTTGGAGCTCTATAGCTTTACGAATCACTTGTCAAGATCAAAAACTAGTTTCCTCTCAAGCAAATCTTAAACTTCAGATCGAAGATCTTGGAGATTGCGCAAAGGCCATTGTTACAGCTGATACCGCTGCAAATTAATAAAAGTTGTTTGTCTGCAGAATTCTCGGGGTCATGGGCAGCAGATCTTTGTTTGAAGTTTTCGTACATTGATAAATGGTTTTCGCGGAGACATTCGAATTTTCCTGAGAATTCTCTTTAGTTCTGCAAGGATTTGATTTTCAAATGAGTCAAGACTTGAGGCCTAAGCCATTACTTCCATTGAGAGCTTAGCTTTTACAATATCTTCCATGTTTCTAATCGCTATAATTCTCGCAGAAGTAATAGAAAAAAAATCACCCTCAAGTTCCACCATCTTCGTTCAAAAAAATTTGAATCTATAGTTTCCTATTTTAATATTTTTGAGTTATTTTACTTTATCAGTGAACCAGAAATCTAAAGGTGCTATTTGGAAGAGCGTTCGCTTCGGGACTCGTTGCGGTCTCCCGCTATTGGAAGATTTTTGAATTGAGCTAACGGTTTTTTATATATTAATAGATTACTTCCCCGGAAATTATAGCAGAAGCTCGTAAAGAAAGTCATGGCATGCTGCTCGAGTATTGGTTCATTCGAATAATTTCAAAAATCTCACACAAAATTTCCAAATCTAACTATTGAGGTGAAATTCACCATAGGTTTTCCCTCACTAAATCACACAGGTGACTGATCGATGACAACTTATTCACTTCGAAGAAACGAACCTGTCTTTCACATCATTATGAGTTACTCAGCATAGTTTTTGTTAGCCCATTAGCATGGCGCAAACTCATTTCAGTAATGAGTCGACCAGACGTTCTAATCTCATCGGATAAGAGACTATTCTGATCACTTCGACGATTTTAGCTTTTTCTAAAATAAACCGCTGAGGAGTGTGAAAGTGCGAAATGCGTATGTGCATTCTGAAACGGAAAACGGCGGAAACCAGAAGAACGTGCCGAAGCAAGGCAGCATTTTACAACTGCCGAGGCCCGCTCACGTCATTCGGCAAGATTTTTGTCTTTGGCTGCAAATTGCTAAGGAGAAGTTCACGTAAAGAACTTCACACAATCTGTCATTCCAGTGTTGCAAATCAGCTTTGTAAACGTTTCCTGAACTCGGATTATTCTGTGCAAAACTACCCAGACCAAGTGGTACTCAAAAAATTTTTGTATGAGCTGCTCGAGTGCAAAAAATCAGTGTTCCTACAAAAACGTCTTAGAGTTCAACGTGATCACAATCACTAGGTTCCTCTCACGATCAGAAAACCATTCGCGACGTTTTTATGGAATACAAGGACACAACCAATAAAATGACCTGACCGTGTGACCAGCATCGCTGTCGCTTTCTCAAATGTTAAGAAAAACTTTTTGGGAAGTTTGGAAAATGTTCGCAATTGATACAAAACGAATCTACTACCGTTAATCATTTAGATCATATTTATGAAAAGGGAGAAGTATAACAATAGATCTACTTTTTTTTCATTCGATTTAGATTTCTATAAATAATGACTTCACAACATGTAAAAGGTTTTTCAAAATAACAAACGTGTCAAATTGTCGTCTTTCTAGACCAAGTAATGCACAAAATTCTTACAAACCAAAGACAGGGATTACCGATGAAGATATCGAGTCCAGTTTCCTAATGATGAGTCTATAGCACTCTGAGATCTTCGATGTTGTCATGACGCTAACGATAACGATGTGACTGGCTTTTTATAGCCGCGGATGTTCCAAAGTGGTTGAGTGTCTGCTCTAGAGTTGGTCACAATCAATCGTTATTTTATTGATGTCGGTTGTTCAAAGCGATCATTCTTCTTTATATTTCTTCTTATCTTCGTTTTCATAGACATTTTGCTTCTTTTGGCAGCATCTCTTCCTTGTCGAGTTAAAAGAAATTTGTCAATCAATTGGACTTCGAGTTCATTCGAAATGCGTTGATATCCAGTTCTACGCGCTTTGACCTCTATAAATTGATACCTTCTCTTCAAAAGCTGTATAGGTAAAGGGCATGCATTAGAACAACAAGCATAAAAACTGAACCAGAAGAATGCTGACGGAACCAGTACCCCGTTTTCTGTTATTTTGCTAATTTTTTGAAGCCATAATAGCTCTGAAATTATTTTTGGAAGACTTAACAGCGTACTTCTTATGTACTTTGAATCTCGTGCAAAAATTCCAGCATCCTTTTCGCATCAAACTTTCTGAAAAATATCTACTCTCCTATTGAGACTCACTATTCTTGCCTTAACCCCATCGCGAAAAATCTTTCCTTATTTTTCCTTCAACCATAATTGCGTCCCTCTATCTTCCATCAAATGACACCTATTACTTTGCAAAAAAAAAGCTCAGCGCGACCTCAAATTTTCTAAGGGGTGGCGCACACTTACATCATTTCGGTAATAAAATATACTATTCTTGCGCTTTCATTATCCAGTCCCGGACTGAGTGTTTTAGAATGCATCCAATACAATTTTGAATAGCATGCAACACAAAAAAATATAAACAGAATTAGAGTAACAAATCAAAATTATAAATGATTGGTAGACGATTGACAAGCAAAATTCGCATGAAAAGAGTTCTTCTGGTTTTCAAATTCTCTTAGGCAGATTCAAAAGATTGTGTACTTTTCATTTCTAGTCATAGAAAAACGAAGTTTTTGAAAATTTTCCGTATGCCCCCACCGGGACTCTTCAATAAGGAGAGAGGGTCTAAAATGTTTTCAAGGAAAAAATTCTCAGAAAAGTAGATTGTAAAACTCCCACTGGCTTCTGCAATTTCCTCCTTTTCGGAATATTCGCTAGATGATTGCGTTGCAAGTTAAGAATGAACTTGTTTAGACTGATTTAATTTCACTGTATAATGACAAAGTAGCATTTGTATCAATTCTTTCTTACATCCCAGTTAGTGGGGGTTGGTTGAAAATGAAACTGAACTTTTCGAACTGGTTGTTTCAAAAGTGCAAACCGTTTTTGCTTGGATTGGAGTTTGCGGCTTATTTAAACTTCGGTCAAGCCTATTTCAAGGATTGAAGTAGATTAAAAAACACCAGAAATGCAACTGACCAACTAACCACGACACTTCGCTACTGGTTCTAGGCAGCAGCTCCGGTATAGCCTAACTCGATGCCGAATAGCATTCTTAGAATGTACGAATGGTCGTGTCGTGTGTCTGGCACATCGGTGCTGAGTGTTCTATTTCTTGAAGATTTCTCTCGCGCAACTGGTTCCTCCGATTCGGCGCGCGATGTCAGCCACACACGGAGATGGGTCTTCGCTCTGGGTCTCGTGCCAGCTCATAGTCTCTTCATAGGGACACAGATGGTTGGTCGCTTGTTCTTAGCTAAACTACTACCAGCTATCAACATTTGGATGATGTTCACTTCTTGGCTTTGAATCGTGTAACACACGAATTTGAGAGGCGAAATTTGGGTCACGCATGTACCAAACGCAAAAAGAAAATCCTAACGCTCTTCCTCCCGTTTTTTTTGCTTTGTACTAGAGTTTGAGCACATTCATAACGCGCCCATCTTCATCTCTCTCAATATTCTTTCATCCTTACAAACTTTTGCTATGACTATAGCTAAGCTTGCCACCTTTAATCTATCAACTTTTTCCCACAATTGTTCTTAACAACACTTGCTCAGGCAAAAAAGACCATTTTGCTCTTAGCGAACCTTCTGAGTCACCTGCAAAACTCAATCTAATAGACCTGAAATCAAAGAAGAAATCAAAAGTGCAGACATTTGCAGGCGTGGCTCGTTTTTTTCCATCTCTCTTGCATCATGCACGATAGAGATCGCCACTTCCATTATATCTTTATCCTAGATAGCTCAACAAGGAGCTGGTTTACTAATCCTACATCTTTTCTCGAGTGCCTATTATTCACGCTAACGATGGCGATTGCATATTCTGAGTCATCTTTCCTAACTCCGTAGCAACTTGCAACGTAGGAAATGTATCAATACCAAAAAATATTCATTGCCAGCGTTCTCCAAATCTTGCAACGTAATATATATCCTTAGCAGAGCTCATTTCTGCAGAATTTCTTTCTTATTACAGTCAATGACGTAATGAACAAATGCGCCTGGCAGTTTAACATAGCCGGACATTGATCCCGACACTCCTTCGCAGCAAATTCATTTCAATCTCAGCCCAGTTTTGCGGATTTGTTCTCGTCTCTTTATCTAATTGTTCGAAAATGTTTTCCGTTAAAGAAGAACAGCCCTTCAATTTCCCCATGTCTTTTTTCTTGCGAATTTATAAAGTCTCATTAGCGCGCTAATCAAGTGCAAACCTTTGATGCTTTCATGTCCTGTTGCAAATTTTGGTCTCACTTTTTTTTATCAATTCTGATTGAATAGATACTTGGCTAATCACAAAGTGCAATAGAAATAATGGTTTTCTACTTGAATTTTTTTAGAAAAATCTAAATCAATTCATTTTGTCGTAATTTCACTGGATCATGCCGGAACTGGTCTCATCTACAGTAATGGCACAGTAATCTCGCCTCTTCTTGGATTACCTTGCCTAAATTCGTAGAATTTTCAACCATTCCAAGTATATATATTTCCTTTGTTATGTTATAGAATTGATGTGAATTCTGGTTGATTTCCAAAGGCAACACGTCCAAAATTATATAAACATTGCACGCGACACCCTGCCGGAAACCCCAAACTGGCCAAGGCACGCGCTCGCGTGCGCGTCGTTGACCATGCGCGCGTTCGTGTAGACTAGAAAAAAAAACCTGAAAAGGAAACACAAATACTGACACCTGGCGATGCGCCTGTCTGTCACAAATTATTCCACTTATGCGCACGTTAGATACGTCGCAATTTTGCACTATACGATTCTACGTATAACGAGTGACGCGTAATGACGACAAGGCGCATAAAACTTGACCGAACCGAACTGCTAGGAAAATGGGGTGCTGCAGATCGGCGACGACGACCTTCTTCGCGTCGCAAAAGTGAGTATCGGTTCGGAACTGAATATGTGAGAAACGACTGGCCTAGCGTCGGCAGAGCGGGGAAAGGGGGGGGGGGGGGAGACCCGGGCAACCTTGGGCGTCGTTGGAGGCCGAGGATGAGGTGCCGCAGTGGCCGCGCGCTGTGCGTTCTCTCCTCTCTGGCGGCGCGCGCTCAGCTCGGATATGTTCCGGCCGAAGTTGTCGAGCGTGAGAGCTTCTGCATAATTTCTTTGGTCCCAATTCACCCCCCCCCCCGCTATTTATATTATGCTAACTGTTTACGCTTGATCAGATCGCCATAAGCACGGTGTGCCGACCTTGGCTGCACAACATTGTGTTGCGCTGCCGTTCTCCCCCCCCCCCCCCCCTGCAAACGGCATAGTTGAATAGGTATGCTTGCACATTACACTAGCTGTTTTCTTCAGTTGCAGACAAGCATTTAGCCCCTTAGACGAACCAGTTTGTCTCCTCGCCCTGCAGACCACCCACTCATCCCTAACTATAACTAACTAAATCGAAATCCGCTAGCCATCTGGACGCCAGAACACATCCCTCACCGGCTTCGACCGACTATTTGTACACCTGAAGCCCCTTTACATCACTTACATACACTTGAACAGTTCTGTTCAAATACACTTGCTTTTCATTCCTGTCCTTCTTGGCCTAATAGGCGTGCCATTGTTATGTTAATTGCGATGACGGCTTGCCCATCAGCAGCTCACTTATTGAGAAATTACTCGCCATTACTTTCAAGTTTCTACTTAACTTCTCTCCAAAGTGCTTCAATTGCAGGGGCACGCGATGCGCTGGATTTTACTTCCAGCAGTCTTTTACTCAATCAGATGTCAAGATATCGCACGTATAGGCAAGTTTTAGATTTTAACTAATTTACATGCTCTTGAGAGTATACAAAAGTCTTGAATTGTATGGATTTATCCACATGAAACTTAGGCAATTTCAATTCATACAGACTCTTTGTTTAGAGTGAAATTCAAAACTGCAGAAATTTTCTGAAAATTGCATGTGGAGCAATAGCTTTTGATATCCAATCTTTCCTCTAAAAAAAGGTTTTTCACAGTCCTCACATTTTATGATTCCATCAGAAAAATTGTCCATTATTGCAGGTGTGTAAACCCAATGAAAACAGCTATTCTTGTCTCAAATGGCTTGATTCACTTTTTACTGAAAGATTTGGCTAAGCACTGGTAGAAAAGCGGATTTATCTCTCTTATCCTTTCAACCATATCCCTTTCGCATTAACTATATCGTCACATCTTTTCTGACTGACTACCCGGACTTGAGTCAAAGAGCGCCAGAATGGTTAGGGACTGATGTAGAAATTTTTCCAAAATACAGAACATAGTGTTTATGATATCGAGTTTGAATTCTATTCAAAAGAAAAATCAAATTATCGGCATTCATGAGTTTTAATCTTGATGACCATTGGTATTTGGCCATCAGATGCTTGAATTTCTTTCATTTCTTGCTTTGTACACTATGACAAATGAAATCAGTATTGAAAAGCTTTCACAATCTGCAGAATTTTTCCACAGAACCTTTCAAGAACCAATTATCTTCTCAGTAAAACGAGTTTTCTCTACCTTGTTGCTTTGTTTTCTGAATGCTTTATATCATGAGTAACTTGATTTTTCTGCCATTTGATCTGGGCTGTTTGGCAGTTGCCACACAGCTGCCGCTTCACTAAAATGTACAGCTGTGTTGTAATAATAAGGAATTCTCATGGAGAAATGCCCTGCAGCCTACAATCAAAAGAAAAAAGGATCTGGTCACATTCTAGTGGGGATAATCGTCTTATTGTTAGAACAGAGCAAGTTTTTTCTTTCATTCACAGGCATCAAATGACTATAGAGTGTTTCGGCTTTGTTTGGATGCCTTAAGCATCAAAAAACCCAGTCGGCTCCAGTCCTTCTTCTACAAAACTTCTTTTTGAACAACTTCTCTTTTTTGTACGCCTTAGAATTGCAGCCAATCCTCTCCTGACTCCAAATTGCGTCATTAGCATGAGTAGAGCGATTTCAGCAGCAAAAACTTTTGAGATGTTCCGGATTTGCTATGAAAAAGTGGACGTTGACTCAGAAAGTGGTCACTGAATGTCCTAGTTGGCTGAGAACTTGCAGTAAAAGTCCAAATGAGCTACAAAAAGATTGGCATTAGCCGGAAACTTCACATTCACATAAATTTTCATAAAACCCTATGGCAATGGATTATGCCACCAGTCCAATCGAATGTAAGATTTTCCAGCTGGCTGCTTATGGTGGCTATATCAACAAATCACTAGTTCACAATTCATTTGACTTGTTAAATGAACAACTAAAGTGCAAGCAAATTCTATTCGTCAAGCACAATCTGCCATTTTTAGCAGAATTCTGATGCCATTTTTAGCATATTTTTCTGTCAAATAATTTAGCTAATCAACGATTATTCGAAATTTAGGTCATAATCATCCCGCGGCTGCTCCAGACTTAACAAGTCATTTGGCCAGGAATTTGAATGATGACCCTCTTCTCAGCCAAGAGGATACATACTATGAAGGCCTTATCGACCCCGAGGGTCGGCGCTTCATCGCTCCTCTTAAGAAGAAAACCATCGTGTAAGTAAAGTTTTCTCAACGTTTTGGCTTCTTAAAAATCATACCAAAATAAGCGTTTACTATTTCATGAAATGTGCTTGTATTCTGCTACATTAGATAGAGGAACTACGTTCCCACGGTCTTACTTAGGAAACTTTTATTTTTTATTTATTTATTTTTTATTTTCATTCCAATCTAAGTATTTTGACAAAAGTGATAAAGTTGAAATAGTCATCTATTCTATGCACTTTCTCTTAATTTCTCTGATTAGTCTTTTGCCTTCACATCTATCTTTATTTTATAGCAACAGTTTCCCCAGAATTTATGATTTCTCGTCAATGCTTGATATAGACAATCACTCTGACTGGTACATTCTCACTGATATATGAATATATGAAGAGAGGAAAAGAATAAGCACTATTTTGGAAAGATAGCTAAAATGGCACCCAAAACTCTTGGTGATCTGATATCCAAAAAGGCCTTTTGGTTAATGTATACTACAATAAGCAAAATATTTACAGCTTTTATAACCATAACACAGTATCGTGTTTCTTTTAGATCACATCATGTTCATCATATTATGATTGTTGAGCTAAAAATTCTAGAAAATATTCACATTCTTAAAAGGTAGGCACCTTCGTAGCTTGCGCGCGGAGTTTCTTTTCACCTTGAAGCTCATTCTCCTATGCTTGCACTTGAAAAATGTCTGTATGCAAGGAATTGTATAGATAATTATTGCATTGAAGTTCTTGGGTAAAGTTCTTGAAGTGATTATACCGTAATTTTTGAGAAAAAAATTACTGTAGAATTTTTGGAGTGTTCAAATCAGGTATAGATAAGAATTTCAATGTGACGTTTGTGGCCCATAGAGGGGGAAGAGGGATAAGAAATATGAACACATCTCTTTCAAGTTTGTCTACGTTAATTTTTTTGCACTAACATTTGAAAATTTGAACAATTTTCCCATTTGCGATCTGATAGCTGTGAAGGAGAATAGTATCTGGTCCATATTTCCTTTCCCATCCTAATGATTCCATAAGGTCATCTGCGAAAACAGCAAAAACTCCGACTGGCCCAGTAACTTGGGTAGTCTAGTTCATCTCCTTTGTAGGGCACGATACAAGTGAAAAAAACTGTCCTTGAATCGAACAAATGTGCACGATTCTCAGTGAAAGAAAGTTTTGCGATAATGTAAATTGTAATTGTCTCCAAAAAAGGAGAGAACCAGGTTGATTTACAAAGTAATGTCTATAGTTTTCGTTTTCGTACGAACACGGAGATATCTACTCGTCGACATCAAGATATACATAATTCACTTTCGTCCTTGCTCTTTGAGCCCTGTAGATAAACGAAAGAAGTTTTACACAACAAAGCGGAAGAAGCTTTACACTTCGATTTGCTTTTCTCAAACTTTTTTCCTCCTGTAATATTTTTGTTATCCACGTAACTGCGTTGGAGCAAAGCTTACCATGGAAAAAAACGGAAGGAAGGCTTAGTTCTACACTTTACGGTTTACCTCAAAGAGTTCATGCTTGGCTGCAGTCCAGATCTTTTTGTTCACGTTTGCAGAACTGTGACAATAACCGGTTTTACCGCTTCTTGTTCTGGTTTCTGTCAGTGGTAAATGGCATGCACTTTGGATTGGATCACATGGGATTATATATAGCTTTGTGCGAGATAGAAAAGCAGAAATCAAATAAACAACATTACATAATAGTGCCTAATATAGAGGGACTAAAAATACCACATCTTGAGTAAAACAAAGCTTTCTACAATGACTAAAAATTTACAGAGCTGAAGAAGAATTGCGACGTGAAGCTGCAGAAATCTCCCGTCTTCTAAATCCACCCAAAGTCGAAGTGCCCCTGTCTGCATGGCTGTGGTCATTTGTTGGATGTTCTCTCGTCGTGCTTAGTGGAATTTTACCGGCTTTGATTTTGCCTGCAAACAGCAGCGAATATCTACAAACTAAAGGCGAGTTATTTAATGTAAATATAAATTTTCAAATAGTCCAAATTTTCCAGAAGGACGATGTAATCTGAATCTGTTGCTATCGTTTGCTGTTGGCAGCCTTCTCGGAGATGTATTTTTGCATCTTTTGCCGGAAACTTGGAGCGATTTAGAAGGTCTGTGAATGCAGAACGCACCTTTCATTCAAAATCATGCATCATCTTCCAGTTGACGTTGATCGTATCGGATTCTGCTCACTGGGTGGTCTCTTGATCTGTTCAATTATTGAAAAACTCTGCAGTACGACTGAACAAAGCCAGCACAGGGTGAGATAAAAGAAAAATAAAGGTTGAAGATGTTTTAGAAATAATATTTAGATTTGTGCAATTATGAACCTCTGCGCTAACTTAGTGGATAACTTCACGCATGGTTTGGCAGTTGGAGCAAGTTTTTTGATATCACCACAGGTAAATTCCCTCTAAGGATGGCTAAGAGCTGAAGAACTGAATTATACCAAAATGACTATGTTTGGCTTAGTCTAGAACGTCTAACGCCTAAAGTCTTACCTCAGACTCTGAAGCACTTTCTCAGAGATTTTCAAGTAGTATAAATTTTTTGAAAAAACCGGAAGGAAAAGTGTAAAGTTCCAAACCTGTGTCAAAATTTGAGTTTTGAAATGTATTGAAGCAATTGAATCTTTCCCCGCCATAATTTTCAGAATTTTTAGGCGGATTATGTGTCATGAGAAAACCAAAATTTCTGAAGCCTTAATTCTCATAAACGAGTGTGAAGCAAGGCTGATTTCTGGGCATTTCTATAGCTAGGAATATCTTTGTGCGTAATGTCCGAGATTTCTAAACGTCTTAATCTCTCTCAAAGTATCTCATCTGACAGAAAATCTCCAGCTTGCGATTGCTCTATATCAGCGTCTTCATCCACTCAAAGCAACAGTGACAACCATGCATTGATCAAAACAATAGATCGCATTACTAACTCGTTCTTGATGTGGAACTTCGCATGTGAGAATAATGGACGGAAGAAGAGAACTTATTACTCTTTTTGAGCCGGAAAAGTTCCGATTGCAAACAGTCTCAGTGTTTGACAGAAATTTTTGCGAAATGTGCAGCACTTGGAAAAGGGTTGAGCGCGTGATTTTGTTTGCATATTTCTATTTGCATATTTCTATTTCATGGACTAAAAGGAATTTTTTTGTTTGAACATTTGAATTTGAGAGGAACTTCCGTGTTGGCAAGTCTTAGTCCCAGTTTTGAGTTGTTTTACCGACGGGTACTGTAGCATTACGGTATATTGTGTAAGAAAAATACCAATTTTCTTAAACTTGTGGATGCCTCCGAAACAGCTTTCTTGTTGGTAAGCCTCAGTTCGCAGGCTATTTTTTTAAGAAGTACTGTAGCATTACGGTATATCTCTTGCAGTTCGGGATGATGACAACCTTCGCGATCTTAGTTCATGAAATACCGCATGAAATTAGCGATTTTGCCATTCTTCTCAGGGCAGACTTTGATAAGCTCGACGCTGTTAAAGCACAGGTAATGAGTGCTCATTTTACCAAAAAATTCTTTCTACCTTGATTGTTTTTTTAGTTTTTTACCGCATCCGGAGGTGTAATCGGAGCTTCTGTAGCGTTGTATTTACGTTCGGGAAGTGTACAATCGCCTGAATGGATTCTTCCATTCACGGCTGGAGGTTTCATCAACATCGCATTGGCACAGATTCTACCTGAACTGAATAGGGAAAAAGACCGACGGTTAGTTTGTGGATTGTTGGGGAGTTTCATGCCTACCTGAGTAGGTTTTTTTTGTAAAATATCATTTTTTAGGCAGAACATAAAGCAGTTGGTGATGATCCTTCTAGGAGTTGGTGTTATGCTAGCTGTTAGCCGTTTCCATATTGCCTAAACACACAAACACTCTGCTGTCTACCTTCAGATTGAATATGTCTATTCACTGTATAATAATCACTGCCTTGACTGATTCCGAGACCGCCTTACACTTGCCTAAGTCTTTACAAGTCATTTGAGTCACTATGGGTCAATGGGTGTGGATAGGATATCCGTGTTTTCCTTTTCTTTTCCTGCCTAACACACATTTGAGATTTTCTCTGTACACTCATCACTGTAAATACAAATTTCTGTACAACCCTATTCGAAGCTAAACCGGTATCTCACAACCTGCGATGTAGTAATAAATTGATTGAGAATCTTCGCACAGATGAATTGTATAAGCAACTCGTACAGACCTTCTCCAATAATAATTTCTTCGGTGTTTTCAAAACTGAAAAACGAATTTAGATCCAGCAGAGATCAGTGTAATAACAAATTATAACATTAGAGTGGAACTAAAGTTCTGTCGCACCACTCTAGAAAATTCATAGCTTCTCGATTCTACGAATTTATACAAATTAATTTTATTGTAAAAAGAAAAAAGTGGATTTTATAACACTTGTATCTCTTCCCAATATGCACTCGTGTAGACAGGAGGGTTAGAAGAAAATCATTAAGATATCGATTTGTGCCTAGTCATAAAAAATCTGAAACTTGCAATAGAAATTAAAGTAATCAATATTGAGATTTTTTGCCCCGCTTTTTCTGAATGAACAAAATCTGTGCCGATTAGACGCCACAATGAAAAGTTACAATTCGAGGCGAATGCTTGCAAAATCACATACGTTTTTACTGTGTGCTCAAAAATCAACTTACTGCGAAAACGCCCAATCTGCACAAGCTTTGCTCAGTCACTGAAGCAATAAGAAACCTATCATTCTGACTATTAACTATTATTATTGCAATATATTTTTCATGACCAAACATAGAAAAACCAGAGTTTTAGCGATTTTCTTCTACCGTTTTTATCTACGCGATGTTCGCCTAATGGGAAGCAGCCTACATGCTACTCTGAAGCGCATGATTTCTTCCTTCGAATAAAATAAATGTGTGCAAATCTGTGGAACAAGAAGCATCAACTTTTGAAAATGAACCGACAGAACTTCAGCCTAAGTAAAGACACACAATGAGCGGGTCCAGCCTGTCAGGTTATACACTGGTAGTTCACCAAGTCCACGTTTTCATTTGAATGATTTTTATGATGGGTGATATGCATGCTTCAGTGCGTCCAAATGCATTGGGTCGGTCCATAATCATGCACCAAAATAAGTAAAGCCTGCAATAAGTCACATCTCTCCTATGTACTAGGATTTCAGGGGAAAATCGGATAGAACAAATCAAGCTCTACAAGATGGTTCTCGAATATTCGCACCAACCCTAATACAGCTATAATTGGAAACGAAAACCAAAAAATCCAAATGCCCAAAAAATCTCATAAATCACAATTCTGTCAGAAGAAATCGTACGGACCTCCTACTATTAGGTTGATGCATAATTCCTGCACCAAAATAGGTACAGACCGTAATAACCCGGGATAATCCTAAATTCCAAGCAGGATTCGATATATCATTAGATAGAGCAAACCTAGCACTACAAAATAGTGCTCAAATATCTACACCAGCTTTGATCCACGCGAAGTTTTAAGCCGAAAACTGAAAAAAACCATGCGTCCGAAAACCTTAAGACCAATCAAAACAAAATTGTAACTTCGTTCAAAAAGCTCCTACAAAATTTCTTTCTTGCTCACGCGTAGACATTCCACGTAAGACATCTATCTATGAGGTTGCTGTATTTTTTTCTCATCTAAACGATGAGAAACGGAGTTTTTCATGTTTTTGCCAAATTAGTGCTGAGATGTCTAACACTAACAGTTGTATAGTACATGTCATTAACAGTGAAACTTTACATTTTCAGTCTTTTAGAACAGCTAGTTCACGAAAAAATGACGGATCTAGCTCTCTTCATCCGAATTTTTCTTGCCTAGTTGCCAAAAATTCGATATTTTTCGTAAACCAGCTGCTGTAAAAAGCTGAAAATTCACATTTACGCTTCTAAGGTCCTATAGTATACAACTGTCAGCGCTAGAACATCTCAGCATTGTTTTGGAAAAAACATGAAAAACTTCGTTTTCCCAATTTCTAGCTGAGAGAAAAATACAGCAACTGCATAGAGGAATGTCTTATACGAAATGACAATGCATGAGCAAGTTGGAAATTTTGAAGTGTTTTTCCGAACTGACTTTCAATTTTTTCTTGGTTTTTTTGGGGGCGCTTGGATCTTTTTCGTTTTTGGCTTCAATCTTCGCTTGGATCAAAGCTGCTGCAAAACTTTAGTCACTATCTTGTAGAGCTAGGTTTGCCCTATATAATGATATATCGAATCCTACTTGGGATATAGGATTATTCCGAGTTATTGCGGTCTGTACCCATTTTGGTGCAGGAATTATGCATCAACCTAATAGCTCAAATATACTTCACACATCGGACGTTATACATGCGATTGCTGCATCCTTTCGGCAAGAAAGGTCAATGGGCCATAATCACGAAAAAAAATCAGAATATGTCTTTTTTGTCGGTTTTTCTACCAATGATATTTCTCAAAAACTAAATCAAACTAAATCACGTAGAATACTGGAAATTCATAATTATACATACAAAGGCTTACAGAATTTGCTTTTATATGAAAGTCCAGCGTTGCTTCAGCGAAACATGAATGTTCGCCATTTCTCGATACTTCATCCAAAAAGCAGATATGTGAATGTGTTATACGGAATGTGCACTAATCTCACGAGTATAAAACGCACCTTTTTACTTTTTAAGCGAGCCGCCCAACCGCCTTGCTGTGTTCAGGAAACCGAACCTAAGAGTACGATAATACTCTCAGGCAATACGCGGCAGTGTATAGGGTGCTTTGGTCGCGAAGTTTTGATATGTTGCTGGTCGAATTAAAAAAACAAGTACGTCCTGTACCGAAATTAGGGTATATAACGTGCCATATACGGCCTCTTCCGTGTCGCGCATGAATGGGATCCTGTAGGACCGGGTGGGCGGAGTTTGACAAAAGATGGGTGGGCTGGTATAAAAAACGTGCAAGCCTAAATCGATTGTACGATCACAGTAAAAACGATGGGTCATTATTAAGGAGTTGCAGCACATCATCGCGCAGTGCCGTCTAGCAAAAGTCCAACACTATTACTGAAAGCAGTGTCTAAATCAGCGCTAAAGTTTTAAAGTTCTGTAAAGAAAGGTCCTGGGAAGTTTTGGAGATTTCATTTTCCTGATTCATTTTTTCGCTCTCTGTTGGACCTTTAAAGACAATCAAACCTGTATGCTTTTTGTAGAAGGGCTAAGGGTTTTCAAAATCGCTTCTAATGTATTTATGCACCAAGAGAATGAAGTGTTAGCGACGACAAAAACTTGGTTTTTTGCTGCCGGTTTTGTGCAATGAGCATATTCTGGATGTGGAAACTCCAACGGATCTGGAGCGCTCTCCTTCCTTGCGGTAGTAGGTTGTCTGGATTATGTGTTTGATGTCATTTGATGGGAGCCTCAGCGTCCAGTTCTTCAACAAAAAGTCGATTGGGCGAATTTCATAGTATTACGTTCGGGTGTTTTGTACATTGGTGGTCTCGATTCATACAGCTTCTTTCTTGATCAAGGCGACCATGTGCTCATAGGATTGTATGATTCTCCGCGTTGCTTTGTGATGCTTGTTCAATGGACTTCATAAGACGCTCTAGAAGCCTACTGCCAAGGAGCGTACGGTGTTATTGATGCCAAGTAAATTTCATTTCGCTGGTTCCTCTATTAATGGCATTGTTCAGTATCTGTTCACTCAGATGAAAGGCAACTGCATTAGTGCAAGTGACTGGTTCTGGAACACCTCTACTTGTGATGAGCCTTAGTGCACCAAGAAAATCTTCTGTCCCATGCTTGTTACTATTTGCAAGTGGATTAACCTTGTGCTGCGCAACCGAAGATGCATCCACATATTTCCTTTTATCTTCTTTAGATGGGAGATCGAAAAAATCAAGTCTCATGTGCTGGAGGAAACATCCTTATTGAACTCTTCTTTCATGTAGATTCAAAGAGTCAGGGCGGTGGTATGGTAGGCAATCAAACCGTCTGCATCTGACGCAGTTATGGATAGGTCTGACCAATCTATGTATTAGTCTATATCTAATCTAATCTAATCTAGTCCAATCTATAGAATCCAATACTGAGATCTTGCACTTGTGTGTTCCGCTCTATGGTACTTGCCGTAAGGATTCTGTTTGATAAGGTTTGCAAGTGGGGTTTTTGTGCTATGGTAATCGACTTTTTGGTAGCTCAGTGACGAAAGTTCGAGTCTTTCTTTAAAGCACCATGTGACTTGATGATTTGAGAAGCGGTCTATTTTCCATCGACTTCCTACACTCATTCGTGAGGTGACTTTTTGATGATACCTGTAATCGCTCTTCTTGATGAACACATTGTCTGAATCGAGATAAGTGAAGGTAAGGTGCGTGTCTCCCAACTCAAGAATGCTTTCCCAGGTCCTCTCTTGACGGTGTTGTAAAACCCGCAGTGATTACTGACGAATATGAGCGTCAATGCAACTGTTCGTTTTGCTTTCTTCCATGTCAAGTCTCTAGGCAAATCTCGGGTAGATTCTTAGCCATCACTGTCTAACGTTTGTACTGTTTTTGTCGTAAACATTGCTGATTCTAGCTTGTTTTTCTCTTGATGAAGGCTGTATGAATAACTGGTCCAGGCTTCCATTGGGTAAACGCACGAAGTGCGGGCCGTGCTACCAAATCTTGTCGTCCAATCCCAGGCCGTCTGCATCACGAGTCTACAAGTCAACAGGGTTTTCTTCAGTTGCGCCATAATTGAGGTATATGCTTTGTTATCCCTTTGGTCTTGCCTTCCTGGTATGAATCCATTGTAAGCCAATTCAGCGCTATTCGTGAATCAGATAATAAGATGATTGCGAATATTCCTTGTTAATTCTACCAAGTGCTTGTGAGACTGAATTTGCGAGTTGTACAGCCATAATCAGCACATTCTACAGCCATAGTCAGCGCATTCAACTCCACTTTTGGTATTGTCGTATGGGTCTTGATCGAAGGCAATTTCGAGCTTGCCATTAGGAATGAAGAAAAATTCTCGTAGAATAGGTACAAGCAAACTGCCATGGTTATCTTACTTGCATCTGCAAAAACTACCATGGAATCTGTCTGCGATCCTGGCGATGATTTTCTGGATGTTCGTCTTCACATAGCTATTTTTCCTCAAATTGTTCCATTCTTCGCATAAGTTATCTGGATTCGTCCCATCGTAAGGGACGCTCCCACAAACCTCGTTGGAATTTCTTCAGCTTTTTCATGTATGGTATTG